ATTATCTACAAGGGGAGTTTTAAACATCTATTACACAATGCACATGAACAAAAGAATAAGAGAAGAAGGCAAGACACTGAGAGCCCAGTTTTCATTATGATGCAGCAGCAAAACAGCATCATAAAACAGCGTAAGAGAATGCAACTTTATGTCTATTCATACTAAGAAGTCCCACTGACATAATTTGACTTTCTCCTAAGAAAACACATTTTATTTTTCAGTTCAATCTTGCCTGATTGTGGAAGACTGCCTAGACAGTTTTCTCAGCAAGTTTTTTTTCTTCCAGAAATGGTTTGCAATTGTTTACTTCCTAGGGCCAAGAGAAAGAGACTAGCTCAAGATCACCCTGGTGTCTTTATGCCTAAAGCAGACCACAACCCACAATCTCCCAGTTTCTAGCCTGATCCTTTAATCACTACACCAAACTGGTGTATAAGACAGTAATCTTACAATACAATTCAAAAGCTAGTCTACTGAATTTAAAAGAACTTATTCCAAAATTAGTGTCAAAAGTTTTAGTCTGTGTATGTGATCACAAATACACTAAGGCAGTAATTCTTGAAAGTATACTTCATTCTATTAATATTTCCACATGCTTCTCAGGAGTATCATTGCCCTATTAGTAATATTGAAATTCATTTTAAAAATAATTAAGAAGTTGATCTTAGCTCAAAAAATCTCACATTAACACCAGCACTGAAATGGACACCAGGATGTCTGGATACTAACCCCAAATGCAAATTAAGCTGACTTTTCTATCAGTCGCTTGAGACCGAATTGTATGGGTGAATGTGTTCCCCCCCATTAATGCAATAAGCCCTCTGAATTAGATCAGATATTGGCAACCACTGGCACAGAATTATACTACATAGCTTCCAAATAACTATGGCAACCAGATCATCTTCAAAGGGATTTCCATGCAAAACACGTGGCAACAACCCCCCTGTGAGAGATCACCAGGGCAGGCAGGGAGAACAATTCTGCAAACTCCAGACAAGGCTGTAGTCAGTTTCTTAAAAGATACTTCTGGCCATTTCTGTTCCCGAATTCATATCTAGCCACTATTCAATTCCCAGGATGCAGTACCTCATCCCAGATATGTTTCCTTTGACCACAAGAAGAAAAATGGGTTTTAGGAAGGAGGAATCTTTATTGTAATTCCTTGTGAGCTGTCCAGAGTCATTGGAAGTTGGACAGTGTACAAGTTTAATAAATAAAAAATAGAAAGTCCTTTCCTACTGAAAGCACAAGCCTAGCCGCCTCCAGCGGTTCTCCAATCGTTTCCTTCTAGCAACAGTCGGAGAGTTTTGATTTAATGCTCACCTGGCTGAGCCTTCCAAGGACGAGAGCTCCAGCAGTGATGGAAATGATCAGAATCTGTAAAAATTCAGAAAAAAGGGGCATGTTAATTGGTTGAAATCCTTTCTTAAAACAACCCTTAACAGCTAGAACCAGCATACTTGGAATTTTTCCGTATCCCGCTATCTCCCAGATAACCTTAGTTTCCCTCCCATTAACGCGACTTTTTTCTTTGGCTCTCCCCAAACAAGGCCTCGGAGGAAAAAAGCGACCCTCGTTGTTTTGAAGTATAGGGCCTGAGCTTTCAAGCCCACAATGCATCACTTCAGGTTGCTAAGGGACAAGAACGCTCCTTTAGAAGGAAGAAAATATCCGAGCATGCGTAATAGCTCCTAACGAAGTTCCCGCGGCTAGACGGTTATTGCAGCGTCCTGTTTGCCAGTGGTGAGCTGGAAATCTGACAGTAGAGAGAAAAAAAGAAAGTAAGGAGCATTTCAAAGGATAGCTAGTAAATATTGATTTACATTACTTTTCTCCAATTTTTTGTGTTCCAGATTTCACCAAGCCCCAGCCTTGGCTGGGAATACTATTATACTTCTATATATTTTGTAGTGCAAATATATTTGTGAATGGAATCTTGGCTGATTAAAAAAATTAAACAGTGTCAGACCTGGTTAGAAATTGGATGGGGGTCAACCAGAAAATTCCAGGGCTGTTAATTAGTAAAAAAATAATCAGAAAAGGCAATGGCAAATCATTTGCACATTGTTGTTAAGGAAACTACATGGTCATCCGAAGTTAGTTCAACTTGAGAGAATCATTATTTTTTTTTCTTTTTTCATTTGTGCATATTTCTATTGGCTTACTGAAAATGGGCAGTATTTACAATGGGGAATGAAATTCTGCTGAAAGGATGGGTTTTTAAAAAATTCCACAAGTATTATGTAAGATTAATAACTGAGGACACATCTCTTAAACCACTAAAGCCATTTATAATTACTTAACTAGAAAGCAAATTGTGCAATTAACATGGCACAACTTGATGCTATTTAGTGGAATTTATTCTTTAAAAGCAGCTGTGTGGGATGGAATCAGATCCAAATCTATCTCCTTATATATCATTTGCTGAGTGAAACATTGCATGCCTGGCGTATAAAGGGACAACTAGCCGAAAAGGTGTATTAAAAAAATATCATTAGCTTTTACAAAATAATGCAAATGCTGATTATTGATATATTGAAAAAGTTTCTTCTTGAAATAATAGGAACAAATTTAAATAGAAAATCCACATTTCTATCAGTTAAAGTACGGTAAATTTTCTGCTAGGAAAGGCTTAGTGAATTGTACCAATTTAGTGAGAGGCTACCAGACTGCACTTTAGGTAAATTATAGACAATATTTTACTGCTTCTGTAATCTTATAATCTTATTTAATTCAATGTATTTAATGTGATATACCAGTACTCATATGGGATATGGTTTCAAAATTAATGTTGTATAAAAACACATTTTAAAGGTGTTTTTAAAAGGCAAGGAAAATATACTTCAGTCACTGCTTTTTATTTAAGCATATTATCAAGATCACATTTGAAAAAAGTTCACAAAAAAGCAAACTACATTTTTTAAAATAATTTTTAATGGATCCTCATTTTGCAATGATTTAGGCACATGAAAAATGAAAGAAGGAAAGCAATATCACTTTGTATTATTCAGCACGCGGAGTTGGTTTATAAAGCTTTGTTGATGAAGGCCTATCAGTAGACAATCAGTGTAAATATTTGCTCATGATACCCTTTAGTGTCACTTTCTCCTTCTGTCTCATCAGTGGATTAAACATACTTGTCTGCATGATAAAACTTTCTCTAAACCAAGAAGAATCAGCCTACTAAGAGATGGTTGCTCATGGATCCCTTCCCTTGGAAGGTGACAGCCTTTCATTATATTTTATTTGCAGGATTTTCTAAGGCTCTTTCATTTTTCTAGATTTCTTTCCTACATGGAAAATGCTCCTCATATTTATTTTCTATGATAATTACAATAGAAATAGACTTGCTGCAATATTTTAATACTATTTACAATCTTGTGCACAAAGAAGTATGGTGTTAAAAGGAGCCGAGGTGGCGTAGCAGTTAGAGTGCAGTACTGCAGGCCACTTTAGCTGACTGTGTTCAGCAGGTCAGCGGTTCAAATCTCACCGGCTCAAGGTTGACTCAGCCTTCCATCCTCCCGAGGTAGGTAAAATGAGGACCCAGATTGTTGGGGGCAATGTAAATATATATATATACATTGCTTACTGGTGTACACTGCTTAGAGAGTGCTTGCACTTAAAGCGGTATATAAGTCTCATAAATAAATAAATAAATAAATAAATAAATATTTCTCCCAGCAGTAAATCACAGTCAAGTTGATGTGACTTTTCCTCCAATAGGCATATATAACAATAACTATTTACTTGGATTGGTTTTATTAACAGGGCTACTTATTTAAACTTTGAAATAAGAAGATCAAAAGTGGATATCAGGCTATGCTTTTCTAAACACCACATAAAAGTTACATAATCATACGGTTGTAGATTGGTGGTTTTTTTATCTAGTAAATTAAAACCTCTAAGATTTAAAAATAAAATGGTACGTTTCTAATATTTTGACAATCTAAAAATGGAAATTGCAGCTCATATTCTAATCAAGATCAAATTAAATGTATTGAAGTCTGTATATTACTAATAATCAACATTTTAATTATTCAGCATTAGTATTTGTTATTTTTACATTTGATGCATCTCAGGCTTTACTGTATTTTTTTCAAATTATATCATCCACACATCCAATCTTAAACTCTTGCTAATTATATCAGCATGATCTTTAACGCCTTTGCTTTTCCCATGGCTTTCTTTCAACATAATTTTGCCTGAAGCTTGTAACTGCAGAACATAAAGCAAACTTTAAATAATGGTAATTAAATTCATATTGTTGCTTCAAAGCAGGCAAACATGAAATATAGAAATATGGGTATACTGATTTACATGGCAGGAGTTTAAAGAAACAGGATGGTGTTGGAAGCATTGTAGAGTCCGTTCACATCCTGTTCTTATGACTTGGCACCTCCATCACTGACATTCTGAGCAAGAGAAATGGGCACCTTTTTGGAAATTCACACCAGCAACTTAGTTTTGGTATGAGGATCGGACCCACCAGGTCTGATTCTGTCCCCAGTGACTCCCAGAGAAAGGGAAAGACAAGCGGCAGGGGGTAGACATTGACTCTGTTGGTTCCATGACTCCCGTGGCAGCGAGGAGACGGAGAAAGTGAGCGAGTGGGCTTTCTGGACCACCCGGAAAACAAGAGCAAAAGAAATTTCTCCACCTTGATACCTCCAGCTCCGTTGACTTCAACTCCCTTAATTCCCAGGCACTAGTGGGTCGGGGATTATGGGGACTGGTCCTAGCACATGTGGAGAGGACCAGACCGGGGGAAAGTGCTAAACCCTAAAGCTAAGAATAAGGTTGGGATCCCTGGTTTTTCCGAAGAGGAAGGCATATGAAGGGGGAGGGAAGATGGAGGGAGAAGAACTACAGTCGGAAATGGGGTGACTCTGTCGCTCTTCGCAGATTTACAACCGGAACGGGTCGGAAGGAAAGAAAATAGGAATAAGTGACATGATCCGAAGGCGTCTCCCCGTACCGAACTCTCTCTTAATAATTGTGGGAACGTGTTGGGTAACCCCCTCGGAATCGCGGGTTGGAGCAGTTGTTTGGGACACTCGGGCAGCCAATAGGAACCATCCTTTTCTGGCAACCAATGGAAGTGGCCGTAACATCCCAGAAGTGGGGGTGGGGAGGACGCGTTCCCTTTTAAACGGGTGGTGGCCCTGGTAGCCCAGAGGGTGTCCTCTTTGCTAAGCTTGCTTCCTCTGCGAAGGTTCTGCATTTCTCCACCACCATGAATCCTACCAAGGAGGGGCGAATTGTGATTGTTGGCAGGTAAATAATTCGATGAACTTGAGTTACTTTTGCTTGCTGTGCCCAGAGAGAAGAGGTAGGACAGTTAAAACAGAAGGGGCTTGACGTTTTCCAGCTCCCATGCCCAAAGGGGCCAGGTTGATGTATTTTTAGGTACAGAATCTAGCAGCCATGAGAAAGCCCCAGTAGCACAACTTCCATCAGTACTTGTTGCAGTTTATCCCACAGAGCCTTGAAACAAGCAAATGACTACTCTATCCCCTGTTGGATCCCTTTACTTGGCAGGTTATCATGGAACAAAAGTTTGTTCCAGGAAAAGGAACTATCCTTTTCCTCCTGTTCCCTCTGTCAGATGGAATGGGTATGCAAAGTGTTTTATTAGCCATATCATTTCAAAAGTTCTATAAAAGACAGAAAAATACAACTTGTGAGAAGCTAATTTGCAATGCAAGCGTCAGTTATTATTTTGGGGAAGTTAATGTAGAAATAAGTCCATCTTTGGCCTTCCATAGCTTGTAAAATGACTCCCAGGGGATATAATATTCTTTTTTTCTTTTTCTGGATTGCATCGAGTTAAAAAAGTGACAACAACTTTGTAGCTGAAATTAATTCTATTTTATATAAGCAATTATGGGATAAAATTAATTTAGATTGTGTATTATAGATGCTTCTAAAGTACTTTTCCATTGAGCAGTATCTTAAGATTCAGTTGTATTTCATTTTATTGCTGATTTTCCCACCCTATTTATGATTCAACCTCAGCCCTTCAAATAAAAGGATATGAACAGTGGTTTCCACAATGGCTTCCCAGACTGCAGATTTTAGAGGTTTTTGGAGCATGTTTATTTTAGATTATCACATGGTCTTTGGTTCAAATAGCAGTTAAAGTCTACATGAAGTCATGCCTCATTCACCAATGGTATGTAGAGTCAAGTCAGGTTTTGCCTAGGTTTGTCAGCATCTGAGACGATTCAGTGATCAAGGAGCAAAGCTCAGTCACCAGCCTTTTTCTGCATTTAAAATGTTGATTAGCTACCATGATACAACACTGCAACATTTGCTTATGATATATGATTAGAAATATGTAAATGCACATTTAGGGAGGAGATAGGTCTTAATTTTGAATGTTCTGGAATAAAACAATGAAGAGCATGCCATTGTTTTTATTAAGCTGTAGATAGAATTGTCTGTCCTTCTAACCTGAAGTTTAGAACTTAAAAACAAAGTTTTCATAGCAAAGTTTGGTGTACCGAACTAGAGCTGGAAAAAATGCTACCAAAGAGACCCAAAACACTTTCTTTGCTCTTATCTAGTGAACAAGTGAAGGCCAAGTATGATTATTTTATGTAATATATATAACTGAATATTTAATTGGGACTTCAGTACGTTGGATTATAATCCAGCATCAAATGGATTTGGTTGAATTATATCAAAATGTGTTATGACTGCCAATTCCATCTCTTTCAGTTATCCTATTTAGAATCCATGTATTGCCATATCTTATTTTCCAGCATATTTAGTAGTGATTACATTTACTTCGGCATTTTTGTTCTCTTTATATCTGTAGCTGTCCCACATATGATAGAATAACAGAATAACAGAGTTGGAAGGGATCTTGACGGCCCTCTAGTCCAATTCTGTACTAAAGCAGGAGACCCTATACCACATCAGACAATAGGTTGTCCAATCTCTTCTTAAAAACTTCCAGTGATAGAGTACCCACAACTTCTGAAGGCAAGCTATTCCACTGATTAATTGTTCTAATTGTTAGAAAATTTCTCCTTATTTCTAGGTTGGTTCTCCTTGATTAGACTTAGAATAACAGAGTTGGAAGGGACCTTGTAGGTCATCTGATCCAGCCTCCTGATCAGACAGGAGACCCTATACCAGTGGTGGCGAACCTATGGCACGCGTGTCAGAGGTGGCAGTCAGAGCCCTCTCTGTGGCCACACATACCGTTGCCCCAGCCTTGCTTCCCCCGTGACCCCCTCCTTAGCAGCCCCCCCCCGGAGGAGAGTTGTCCCCGAGCGTGGCCCACATGAAGCAGCTCAGCCAAGGATATGGCAGCCAGACAGCGTAGACAAGACTCTGCTCTCACGTCCCATCGCGCACAGTTGATGTTGCGGGGGCAGGCAGAGGGCATGACTGCCATGGCGCTGCTGGGCTGCCTGGGCGATCTGCTGCGGGCCCTGGAGGTGGTGAGTGGCCCTGCGAGCAGGCGGGGCAGGGGATGGGGTAGGGGTGGAACAGGGGCAGGGCAAGGGGTAGAATGGGGGCAGGACCAGTTTTTGGGTACTTGGTCTCTAAAAGGTTCGCCATCACTGCCCTATACTATTTCTGATAAGTGGCTCTTCTTGAAAGCCTCCATCGATGAAGCACCCACAACTTCTGAAGGCAATTGGTTGATTGTTCTCACTGTCAGAAAATTTCTCCTTATTTCTAGATTAAATCTCTCCTTGATCAGTTTCAAGTCTGTCAAGATCCATCTGGATCCTGAGCCTATCATCTAGGGTGTTGGCTATTCCTGCCAGCTTAGTGTCATCTGCAAATTTGATGAGTTTCCCTTCTGTTCTCTCATCTAAGTCATTTATGAAGATATGGAAGAATACCTAAGACAGACCCTTGTGGTACTCCACTACTTACTTCCCTCCATGTAGATGTAGTACCATTAAAGACTACTCACTGAGTACAGTTTGTCAGCCAGTTACAAATCCATCTGGTGATGATGCTATGTATCCCACTTTTTTCTAGCTTACCAAGAAGTAGGTTGTGGTCTACTTTGTTGAATGTCTTACTGAAGCCTATTTCCACAGCATTTTGCTGGTCTTCTAATTTAGTCACCATGTCAAATAATGAAATAAGATTGGTTTGGCATGATTAGTTTTCACCCATTGCTTCTTGTTCTGCCTTCAGGTGCTTTCGAGAATAAGTTGACACCGTCTTTTTTGTGATAGCTCCTTAGATACTGGAACACTGTCATCTCTAGTCCTTCTCATTAAAATAGACATACCCAATTCCTGCAAGTGTTCTTAATTTATTTTTTATTTTTGTAATATTGACTATATGACTTTGTTCTACTGTATTTTTTAATCTATTTGATTGAAAGGCATTAGCTTCAGACTTGAGAGATCTAGGGACACAAACCTTCCCTTCCCCTATGTGACAAAGAACATCTGAAGAATAACTGAAACTATAAATATAATAATTACAGAATCAGAATTACAGATCAGAATAACATGAGCAGTATTGTAGCATCATAAGCAACATCCGTTTTCTATCTGCATTGCATACACCCCAAAAAGACACAGCTTTCACTGCAACATTGTCATTCTGTTAAAAGCAGCAAATGCTTGTGGCCAGTTTTTTGTTTGTTTGTTCTTATTGCTGAGGTTAAAAACTGAGCAATGAATGAAAATGATTGTTTAATGAAAAGTCTAATGAAAAGAAGGACTGGGGTGACATGATAGCAGGGTTCCAATATTTGAAGATCTCTGACAAAGAAGAGGGGGTCAGCCTCTTCTCCAAAGCACCTGAAGACAGGACAAGAAGCAACGGATGGAAACTAATCAAAGAGAGAAACAACCTAGAACTAAGGAGAAATTTCCTGACAGAACAGTTAATCAGTGAAACAACCTGCCTCCAGAAGTTGTGAATGCTCCGACACTGGGAGTTTTTAAGAAGAGACTGGACAATCATTTGTCTGAAATAGCATAAGGCAGTGGTGGCGAACCTATGGCACACGTGCCAGAGGCGGCACTCAGAGCCCTCTCTGTGGGCACTCGTGCCATTGCCCCAGCCCTACCTCCCCCCACGGTCCCATCCTCACCAGCAGCCCCCTGCAGGAGAGTCGCTCCCTGGCATGGCCCGCATAGAGCAGTGCAGTCAAGGACATGGCAGCCGGGCAGCAGGAACAAGACTCTGCCCTCGCACTCCGTCATGCGCAGATGATGCTACGGGGTGTGGGCGGAGGGTGTGGCCGCCATGGCGTTGCTGGGCCACCTGGGTGATCTGCAGTGGGACATGGCGGTAGTGGGTGGCCCTGTGGGCAGGGCAGGGGCAGGGTGGGGGGCGGGGCGGGGCAGTTCTTGGGCACTCGGTCTCTAAAAGGTTCGCCATCACTGGTATAGGGTTTCCTGCCTGAGCAGAGGGTTGGACTAGAAGACCTCCAAGGTCCCTTCCAACTCTATTATTGTTGTTGTTATTATTATTTTGGGTAGGATCCCAGCTTCAGAAACTGAAAACAGAAAAACTAGAATACAGAATAAAATAGTACTAGCAAAAAATAATAATACTGTGGCTTGTTAGCCCAGAACTCTGCTATTCATTAAGCCGTTCATAACCAACACCACCAATCTTCTCATCTTCAGCTTCTATAATTTGCCATAATGGTTATTTTCAATGGCTGATAAAGAACAGAGAGGTGTTTTCTATTTTTATTTTAAATGATTCATATGCTATATTCATTTTGTATTTATTCGTATGGCAATTGTTGCATACATTTAATGACAATGCTTTTATTTATGAAAATTAACAAAAATCTGATAGAGATTGTTAGTCCTGATATCACCTGAGATTCATGAAAGAGTATTCATGATAACAGGAAACTTGGTGGCAATGAGTGAGACACTGGTTGAAAAAGAATGAAAAACATTCACTCCATGATAATGTGACGTATAAAATGCTGCTAGATTTCAATAACTTTATAATGTGGGAAATAAAAGACTGATAACAAGTGAAAAATTGACTGAGAACATCTAAATAACAAAATGGGTGATTTATTGTCAGAAATGTAGTGTTTCAGATTTTTGAAGAGGCCTCATTCAGGCTATTACAGCAGAACCTCTCTTTTAATATCCACGACAATACACATTCTGCTTCACCTTCTTTAAACCAGAAAATTTGGGGTTGATGATTCATTGTATATTAATATTCCCTGTGGGCACTGAATTCTCCAAGAAGCTAGCTGATGGACTAGGTAAAATATTCAAAAAAGATAAAACTATCCCCATTATAAAAATTGTACAAAAGATTGTGTAACTAAACAATTCCTTCTAACTGCTGGAACAATGAGCTACCTTTGAGTAGATGGCAATAGTTAGTAGATAACTGGGTTGAAAGATATATTTGGCTAGTTTTAAGCCACATCATGAAGATCTTAACTTACTGCTAAGGTTAATTACTTGATTATTAATAAACAAGCATTTAATGCTCTGAATTTTTTGCAAGTCTTGTAAAGGGATAGGAGAAATTCCTCTATTTACCAACAAAATAAAATCTTTGTATTTTCTTTTATTGAAAATGAAATCATATTAGGTTTTGCTTGTGAGAGGATAATCAGAGGGAGGAAGTAATCTAAGGCAGAGGTCCCCAACCATTTGGGCACCAGGGACCGGTTCCATGGAGAAAGGTTTTTCCACGGACTGGAGAGTGCGTGATTTTGTGTGCTGCCTCCATCCTACAGATGGGGATTTGCTTGTATGTGCGGACCAGTTGCTGGCATACTGTGGCCCGGTACCGGTCTATGGACTGAGGGTTGGGACCCCTGATCTAAGAGATGCTTCATTTACTCTGAAAACCAACTTTTTCATTGTACAACATATTTCATTGATCTTAAAAAGTAGGGTAGCTGTCAAATTGGCAAGTGAGAGAAGAGGTTTTGCTAATATTGGAACATGTCACAATCCCAGCTATGTTGCAGAAGTTTCCATGTTTGTGCAAGGAGATCAAAACAAATTGCTGTTCCAAGCAAAAGAAAAAGCTCATGATTGGCTGGAATGTTGGGCACACACGGTTACTTAATTAACCCCCCCATTAAGAGTAATCTTTTTTGAGCAGAGATAGAATCTAGATAAAGCAATCACAAGAGAGTCTGCTCAAGCTCTTCTGAACACAACTTACTTAATTCCTGTTCCCCCTATTATTCTCCAATCAGGAAAGCTGACTTTGCTGAGAAGCAAGGTTTTAGGATGGGGAAATCACTTTTATCAAGTTTAGTGACTTCAAAACAAATTTGTCTTTGTTTCTACAGAATCATTCCGCAACAAATTGGTAATTTTGTCCAATTATCCGATCTACCAGCACTTATTACAGTGTTAAAAAAGAGGTTAATCATTTTCTACTTTACTTGTTGATTGTGAAATCATAATGTCAGCAGATATTCAGTAGCTATTTCCATTAAAACATAGATATCCAGAATACTACATATACCGTTTAGCTGAGCTTTCAAGCAAGGCTGATGTTATGTAAATATACTGTCAACTTGGCAATTTTATATTTAAGCATTTTTAATTTAAAAATAGGTATTTTTCAGAATATTATAGAAGGGATTCAACCATCCTTCTCCAATCTAGCATTCCCTAATGTGAGGGGATTGCAACTCCCAGAACTGCTAACCATTTACGACTGGAAATGGAATGCTAGGGATTGAATTCTTGTAATATATATATGTGTGCATATGTATGTATGTGTGTATAACATGCTTAAATGCTAAAATGAATTACCATTTTATCATTATGTAAGCAAGACCTTGAGCCTTAGACCTAAATATTTATCATTCTCCCTTACTATTATAATAAGGAAGAAATTGGAGAACTTTGATCAATGTTTAACCACAATTTAAAATTCAATGTTAACTATAATTTAAATGCTTAATCCAATACAACAAATGTGTATTCTCTGTTCCACAGCACTACATATATGACTCCAGATGTCCCCAGAATGCATGGGATCAAACATTTCAGACTTTTTTTTTTTCATTTTTTGCAAATATAACTGAAAACATAATTTTTCCTATTGGGTTCATTAAGGGATAAATGAAACAACAAAAAAAGAACCCTCATATTTTGGCCTGCTCAATCCAATGATGTCACAACACTGTCCATGGCACCTTTTATGATATTTCGAATCAAATAGAGTATCCACATATTTTGAAAGAACAGTGACATCACTTCTGACTCATGAACAACATGAAACAATAGAAGATTAGATTAGATTAGATTAGATTAGATTAGATTAGATTAGATTAGATTACCTTTATTGTCATTTTTTCCTGTGGGCACAATGGCACATATTAAAATGAAATTTAGTTGCTTCCTCTCAAAGTGTACACATACATAACACACATTTAAAATGTACTATATACAACATATGTATAGACCCTTACATGTGTGGAACAAAGCTGTGACTGAATCTGGATGTTCTGCTTCGGATACCACAGAGCCTCCTCCCAGAAGGTAACAAAGAAAACAGGGTTGTGAAGAGGATGTGTCGTGTCCCAGGCAATCTTGCGGACCCTGCTCAAGCAATGCTTCTGTGCTATGTCCTGGATGGGAGGAGGGAACTGCCAATGATCTTTTCAGCCATCCTCACCACTCTCTGCACAGCCTTCCTGTCTGAAGCAGTGATGCTTCCAAACCAGACTGTGATGCTGTATGATAGGATCATACAGAATATATGTCTGATTATATTATGAATGTTTTAAAATTAAATTTCAGTTGTGACTCAAGCAGTTATCTTAAGCAGTTATATCATCTAAATCGTTTGCACTAAAGATTGAATTTCATAGAATATGTATCATGCCTTTTAAATACTCAAAAAAGAATCTAATAGCAATACTTTATTCCAGTAGTATTGTAGTAGCAAAAAATAATGAATAGTGTAGAAGCTCCTACGCCAGCAGCAATAGAATGCATGTTTGCTTGCACCTTGTTTTATGTTCAGATATGGCATTCTTTATTTGAATATTTATTAATGCAGGATTGGGAAAAAGCCTAGGAAAGTGGATAGTTTCTACCAGATTTTAAATAGATAGTTGATAAAAGGCAATTCGTATTTTCAATAATTATTTGAAATATCCAAATGATACGCATGCCATATGTGTGGTGGGGAATGCAATGATTTTGGGTTCTAATTTGCAGAATTAGCCTTTCACAGAATATGAAACATAAAACGATATTTATGTTTCTCTGGTATAAGCCTATTTGTCTAGTGGTGTTTTTTATGTCTATTTACACGCTACTAGATCAATGTGTCTTCTAGAATCAGTTAACCATTCTTGAGCTGATATAAAATATGCCCTCAATACAGTTATATCAGTATGGCAATAGTGGAATATAATAGTTAGAATATAATAGTTGAATACAATTTTATTTATTTATTAAATTTATATGCTACCTGTCTTGTTATCCTGTTATAGAAGTTGGATAATAGAGCTGGTTTGGTATAGTGCAGTGATGGCGAACCTTTTAGAGACTGAGTGCCCAAAAACCGCCCCTGCCCCGCCCACTCCGCTCTGCCCCCCACCCCGCCCGCCCCCAGGGCCACTCACCACCTCCACAGATCGCCCAGGCTGGCCCAGCAGTGCCATGGTGGCCACGCCCTCCACCCACACCTTATAGCATCAACTGCATGCGACGGAGCGCGAGGGCGGAGTCTTGTCCCCACTGCCTGGCTGCCATATCCTTGGCTGCGCTGCTCCATATGGGCCACGCTCAGGGGCAACTCTCTGGGGGGGCTGCTGGTGAGGGGCCACAGGGGGAGGTGTGACTGGGGCGATGGCATGCATGCCCACAGAGGGCTCTGAGTGCCGCCTCTGGCACACTTGCCATTGGTTCGCCACCACTGGTCTAGTGGTTAAGGTATCAGTCTAGAAACTGTGAGTTCTAGTCCCGCCTTAAGCATGAAAGCCAGCTGGGTGACTTTGGGTCAGCCATTCATTCTCTCACTCTCTTAGCCCAATCCACCTCACAAAGTCATTATTGTGGAGAAGGAAGGAATATTTAGATATGTTTGCCATCTTCGGTTATTTATAAAAATAATAAAAGCAGGATACAAATAAAGAAGAAATAAAGAAGTACTAGAAGTTGCTATAAGTCACGAATGGGATTACTTCTGCCATCTCAGAGCATGGGTATGAGCTGATCTCATCGTTACATGTCTGTCCTGTTTTGTTTTTTTCCTTCAAGACAGTTTTTGAATTTTCACTACTAGATATGAATGATCAGATAATCCGGAATGTGTGTGAGAAATAATGTGTTTCATATTTAAATTGCTGTTGCCTTCAAGAAAATACTCAAATTGAAAATCTAGAACCAATTTCCATCAGTGTCCTTGCTAACAACCATAAAAAATGCACACTGATCTTCTTTTCGTTTGATTTCTTCCTTAGTGGAATCATTGGAAGCAGCTGGGCCATGGTTTTTGCATCTGGTGGTTTTCAAGTAAAGCTCTATGATACTGTGGAAGCACAGGTTACAAAAAGCTTGAAAAAAATTGGGTAAGTGATCTAACTTCCTCCAAGTCTAGATAAGGTATTGTAAACATTAACATTTTGATCCTAATTTTCTCCCCAAATCATATCAAGAATCATGTGTATATTAGACCAAAAATAGAAAATAGTAAAGCAGGCCCTTATGATAAAATACTTGTGTAAATATTTTAATATAATTTAATATAAAATATTGACATCCCTCCCTTAATCCTCTGTTGAACTATACAAGGGATACTGAAAAGAATTTGGGAGTTTCAAAAGTTGTTTGTGCATCAAGGACAAACTAAGAAATCAAGAGGTTTTTAATTTAAAATATAACTATAATCCAGTTTCAGAAGTCCAAATTTCTTTTCCAGTTCCTCAAATGTTTTATTATCAAAGCATTAACAGTAAGGTAAATACTGCTTTTTGCCCACGTAATAATAATAAAAAAAAAACCAGAGATTTTGAGATTGGGATTATTCCAGAGTATCTCTTTTTTTACAAAAATAAACTCAAACTTCCATCCCCAAACCTTTCAAGTGCACTAAACAACTTAATATTTCCCAGCCTTTAATTGGGAAAACAACTAAATTTTGACAAAAACAAAAAGAAAACACCATGCCCTGTCAAGCTATCATAGTAACATTCTAATTGTCTCCAGTGGTTTTTGAAGTACGGTAAGTAATTTGAATTCATAAAATGTGAATGTTAAATCACTTTAACTTACTGAATATACAACACATGACTCTGACACAAAATACTGTATACCGTTGACTCTGTCACAAAGGTGTATACTTTTTTTCTTCCCAATTCCTTATCAAATCTGATCTAGATAGATATTATTTTAAAACTTTGCTCTTTGGTTGATCAGCTAATAAACTGCAAAATAAGTTCTGTACATTACATTATTGTTTTCAGAAACTTCTAAAGCAGAAATTTAAATCTCTAAAGCAGAAAGAGACAAAGTTTCAATTTAACAAAGATTTTGTAGTTGTTAAATTTGAAATTGATCCTTGTATGTTTAAGATACTGAATACTTATTAAATTCTCTAAAACAGAATGGTGCACTAACCAAATAGATGGTAAGACATAAGGGGAACTCAGGCACCACACAGGTTATGTAGGAAGTAAACACAGGGTCGGTCATAAAGGACTCAAATGTCTATACACAAATGCACAGGGTATGAACAACAAACGGTGAACTAGACATTCAGATTAATGAGGGCAGATATGATATTGTTGCCATTACGGTAACATTGTGGGATGAAACCCACAAATGGAACACACAGCTAGAGGGATTTAAATTATTTAAAAGAAACAGACCAAATAAAAGAGGAGGTGGAGTTGCTCTATATATAAGAAATAACTACATCTCTACAGAAATAGAGCACAACAATGATGAAAACTGTCCTGAATGCATATGGGTCAATATAAAAGGGGGGGGGGAAACAATGTTGCCATAGGTGTATACTATAGACCACCCAACCAAACACTGGAAATAGATGAACTTTTTGCTAGTCAGCTAACTAAGGTATGTAGGAAGCACATCACAATAGTAATGGGGGACTTTAACTACCCTGACATCAACTGGGAGACAAACTCTGCACCAAGTGGAAGATCAAACAGATTCCTGACAAACCTAGCAGACAACTTTGTCTCCCAAAAGTAGAGAAGGGAACTAGGGGATTAGCCATTTTGGACCTAATTCTCACTAACAGAGATGAAATGATAGAAGGTGTTGAAGCCATAGGAACCTTGGGAGGAAGTGATCATGCAATATTGGAATTCAACATTATGGAAGCACAAGCAATAGAACACAGTCAAACTAGAGTCTTGGACTTCAAGAGAGCTAATTTCAATAAACTTAGAGAGGGTTTGGGAAGGATTCCATGGATGAGAATCCTCCAGGGGAAAACAACTCAAGAGCCTTGAGAAATTTTGAAAAGTGAGATAATAAAGGCCCAGTATAGCACAATACCAACAAAGAGGAAAAATAACAGCTCTCAAAAGAAACCAGTATGGCTGCATAAAGAACTCTCTGATCAATTGAAAGATAAAAAGGACAAGTATAGAAAGTGGAAAGAGGGACACATAGGTCAGAATATCAGCAAATAGCCCGAGCCTTCAAAGATCAAGTGAGGAAAGCTAAGGCTCAAAATGAACTAAGGTTTGCAACCAAAGTCAGAAATAACAAAAAAAGCTTCTTTCAACATGTAAAAAACAAGAAAAAAGTGAAGGAAATGATTGGTCCATTATTGGGTGAAAGTGGCAAGAAGGTGACAAGCAACAGGGAGAAAGCAGAACTATTTAACTCGTTTTTCGCATCTGTCTTTACACAAAGGGAAAAAACAGACCAATCTATCCAAAATAGTGCCATAAAAAACAAAATAGAAATACAAGTTAAGATAGGCAAGAAAATGGTAAGTGAACACCTGTCCAGCCTAGATGAGTTCAAATCACCAGGACCAGATGGATTACACCCCAAGGTTCTCAAGGAACTGGCAGGTGTGATCTTAGAACCACTGAACTATATTTTTCAAAGATCCTGGAGCACTGGGGAACTACCAGAGGACTGGAAAAGAACTGATGTAGTTCCCATCTTCAAAAAGGGGGGGGGAAAGGACCCAGGAAATTACAGACCTATCAGCCTGACCTCAAAACCTGGGAAGATTCTGGAAAAGATAATCAAACAACAAATCAGCGAACACCTGCAGGCAAACAAAGTCATTATTAAAAGCCAACACTGGTTTGTCAAAAACAGATCATGCCAGACAAATCTTATTGCATTCTTTGACCAAGTGACAAAATTAGTGGACCAGAGGAATGCTGTGGATATAATTTACTTGGACTTCAGTAAGGCATTTGACAAAGTATATCACAACCTACTACTTGATAAGATAGAAAAATGCGGGTAAGACAGCATCACCACCAGATGGATCCGTAGCTAGCTGACCGGCTGTACTCAGCATGTGGTCCTCAATGGAATCGCATCTACATGGAGGGAAGTGTGTAGTGGGGTGCCCCAGGGCTCTGTTCTGGGCCCAGTACTCTTCAACATCTTCATCAACGATTTGGATGAAGGGATAGATGGGGAACTCATCAAATTTGCAGATGACACCAAGCTGGCAGGAATAGACAACACTCCAGAAGACAGGCTTCAGATACAGAAGGATCTGGACAGACTTGAACACTGGGCACTAACTAACAAAATGAAATTCAATGGTGAAAAAAGCAAGGTTCTACATTTAGGCAAGAAAAACCAAATGTACAGATATAGTATAGGGGGTACCTTGCTCAATAGTAACTGTGAGAGGGATCTCGGAGTCCTAGTGGACAATCATTTGAATATGAGCCAGCAGTGTGCTGCAGGTGCCAAAAAAGCCAATACAGTGCTAGGCTGCATTAACAGAGAGATAGAATCAAGATCACATGAAGTATTAATACCACTTTACAATGCCTTGGTAAGGCCACGCTTGGAATACTGCATCCAGTTTTGGTCACCACAATGTAAAAAAGATGTTGAGACTCTAGAAAGAGTACAGAGAAGAGCAACAAAGATGATTAGCTGACTGGAGGCTAAAACATACGAGGAATGGTTGCTGGAATTGGGTATGTCTAGTTTAATGAAGAGAAGGACGAGGGGTGACATGATAGCAATGTTCCAATATCTCAGGGGCTGCCACAAAGAAGAGGGAGTCAAGCTATTTTCCAAAGAGCCAGAAGGCAGGACAAGAAGCAACGGGTGGAAACTAACCAAAGAGAGAAGCAACCTAGAAATAAGGAGAAACTTCCTGACAGTTAGAACAATTAACCAGTGGAACAACCTGCCTCCAGAAGCGGTGAATGCTCCAACACTGGAAGTTTTTAAGAAGAAACTGGACAGCCATTTGTTCAAAATGGTATAGGGTTTCCTGCGTGAGCAGGGGGTTGGACTAGATGACCTCCAAGGTCCCTTCCAACTTTATCATTATCATCATCATCATTATTATTATAGGAAAATTATTAATAACATGACAAATAATGGAGCTAAATGAAAGAACAGTAACATTATTCCTACAATTAAAGATTGTCAGGGTATATAATTATATATATATTTAAAGTCAGCTTTCATCAATTCAGTGATTCCAGAAGAACATGTTAAAACTTTTTAAGTCTCCTATAAAATTTCTCAAAGATTTTTAAATTTTCCAAAGAACAGACATTATCTCAAACAGGAATCCTAGTTTGTTCCCTGATTTGCATTAAGATTAATAAGGATCAGTTTCAACATTACCTGAGAATCTCAACCAGAAATGAAATGTAAAAAACTGATTTATAATCCTTGTGGCCATGGAGATAAGCTACTTGCACACATGTTGTCTCTTTTGTATTTACCCTTGTATCTATTGTTTGGAATATCATATTCTGAAATGAAATACTTTAGAGAAATCTCATATTTCTGAGCAGAGGATTACTAGGTGAAAGGGAATGATCTCATTAGCTTTGTTGCTGGTGTTTTTGTTATTCATGGGTTTGTATTTGCATTTTGATACCATAATTATTAGTAGTTCTTTTCCCAGGTCCTGCTGGTATTTCTACGGTTAACTTTGTTTATAGAACATAGAATCATAGGCTGGAAAGAACCTCAGAGATCTTCTGGTCCAACTTCCTGCTCAGGCAGGAGACTGTATACTGTCAACCTATTTTTGAGAACCTCCAGTGATGGAGTACTCACAACTCAGGAAAGCTAGCTATTCCATTGATTAATTTTTCTCACTGTCAAAAAATTTCTCCTTACTTCTGGATTGGATCTATCTTTAACAAGCTTCCACCCATTATCCTCTGGTGCTTTGGAGAATAAATCAAACCTTTCTTCTCTGTATCAGTTCCTCAAGTACTGGAAGACAGTTAGCATGTCCCCCCAATCCTTCTCTTTGATAGGCTAGACAATTGTTCATCATATGATTTAGCCTTTATCATTTTTGTTGCTCTACTCTGCACACTTTCTAGGGTCTCAATGTATTTTTGGTGTCATGGTGATCAGACCTGTACACGGTATTCCAATTGTGTCCTCACTAGTGCAGTATAAAGTGGCATCAGTCGTATCAATATTATTTTGAATTTGCTTTTGTTTTCTAGGATAGTTATCATACTCTATTTTCTGTCATCTTCAGATCTAATGAGTAGTCTATTTTTTCATTCAAGTCTTTAGTATTAATATTATAGAGTCTAGAGCCCAAGAATGAATCTTTTGGCATCTTGCTCAGTACAACGAAGAACCACTGATTAGTACTTCTTGAGTACAATTTTTAAACCAGTCAATTTCCGTTAAGTTGTCATACATTTAGCCCACACATACATTTATCTTGGGAATTAATCTCATGGGCTACTTCATCAGATTCTTTGCTGAAGTGAAGATATATTATATTCACAGCATTCTCACAATCTATCAACAAAGTTATGCAACTAAAAAATGAGATAAGTTTAGTCTCCCAAGTATCACTGTTATATTGATTGGATTTGCTCTCCTCAAAGTACCTGACATTTGTTGGTTTTCCAAAATTTGTCAACAATTGATATGTAAAGGTGAAATCAGATAATCAGTTCCTTCATTATCCTGGATACATTTAACCTGGCATATAGATTTAACTTTATTCAAATTCAGTTAATTCTTACCTTGTTTTATTAATCTTAAGCATCAATCCTGTCTCTTTATTCAGTTCTTCACAACTGCCCAGTGAAACAGATATCCTCTTTTCACAGAAAACTGTGCCTAAATAAGAATTGATTAATTCCATTTGATTTTACTGTTAATGTTCTGTTGTCTTCACTGAACCACTAGAGAACCAGTTAAACTGATAGCCAGTTTGGTGTAGTGGTTAAGGTGCTGACCTAAGGAGGTTGTGATTTTTGCTCCTGCCTTAGGCATGAAAGCTGGCTGGATAAGTTTGTACCCGTCACTCATTTTCAGGCCATCCCATCCCACTGTACCTCATAGGATTGCTGTGGGGAAATTGGAGGAGGAAGGTGCTGGATATGTTCATCATCTAGAGTTATTTGTAAAAATAATAAAGGATGATACAAAAAACAAACAAATAAAACCATGTATTTTTCAAACAATTATGGTTCTTATAATTTCTTAAAGGATAGTGCAGTGACTATTGATTCTGCAAATTGAAGAAAAATAAGCCTTGAACTTGCTCTGATTAATCATGTAGGGTTATTTGAAGCCATAAAAACTTTAAATGCAACACTATCCCTGCTGGGTTGACTGGGAATGACTGGGAAGCTGTGGTGCATTTCATTTCCCCCCTCCCTCTTTTAGCCCACTGAAGCCTAAACAGTAATAATCTTATAAATTTTGAGAAATTGGGGATTGTAATGATTTGCTATTCTGTTTATAGCTGGAGACAATATCTTGGATGTTGTGCTTGCAACTGAATAGAAATGTACTTGAGGTTGTGTACTTTTGTGTACTGTTTGTTCCTTCAATAAATTATTAATGCATTTTTTTTCATTTTATGAGGAGAAAAAAATGCAATCAAAAGAAAAGAAAGAACTTTTTGAACAGAACTTGAAAAACTTGAAAGTTTCCAAGAGGAAGTGGAAAACAACTTTGAAATATAATTTTAATATATTTTAAAATAAATATGGGATAATGTTAGTTATACTGTTAATTACCTCTTCCAGTTACAAATGGTATTTAAAATGTATAAGTCTTCATCTGTTGTAGGTATATTTGAGGGCCATCTGCTGTTTAGTTTTGCAAATTTTACTATCTTTGGCACAAGACAAAACAGGAAAACAGTGCCCCATTTTATAGGAAATAGCAGCAGATTCTACTTAGAAAATCTATGCAGAAATGAAAAGGTTCCGACTCACACGTTCACATGTCTGGAAAGTTCAATGACCATCCTCCTTAGAATTTTTTCCACCAGCAAACATCTGATTTTGACCTCAGCAATGTAATTTGTTAGTTGGAAAACTGGTATCCTATTTTACTTGTAGCAAGCATTCTAGTGGATCCCATTGACTGTAATGGGGGGATTCATGCAAACCTATTGGAAAAAATGCATTTCTTTTAAAAAAGCTTATTTGATGTTTTCAGACTTCCAAGGAGCTTTTGAAATCTGGCTATCATCAGTTATATCACACTTTCTTTAAGTTTTAAATGTATTTCCATTGGTGATTGGGAACTCTGGAGGTTGTGACCTACACAATTGAATAGTGCTTTGTTGAGAAATGCTGCAGTAGAAACTGTCTTATACCTTGTTAGATGGATGTAGCCATAGTGATCTGCAAAAGTTAGAATTTGATTCTAATATCAATGAAGCATTTAAAGATCATAATATATGCTTAACCCAATGTATCTGGAAGTGATTTTAAGGAATAATTCCAATATTCACTTTATGTTCCAAATAGTGAACAAATGAAAGAACTCGAAACAGCTGGAATGCTGAAAGGCTCCCTCAAAGCTGACCAGCAGATCACTCTCATTAGTGGTTGCACAGATTTAAAAGAAGCACTCAAAGATGCCATTTATGTTCAGGTGAGTCCATGATGATCCTATGGAATTCTCATGAAAGAAAGTTAGTGAGTTAATCTGCCTTTTATGTATGCTACAAACATAAATAACTATTTCATTCATTTAAACCAGTGGTTCTCAACCTGTGGGTCGGGACCCCATTTGGGGTCGAACGACCATTTCACAGAGGTTGCCAAACAATGCAGTCCGCCATTTTTTTCCCCTTTTCCTTAGCTGTGCTACTTCCTTTTATTCTATTGGCTTTTGAAAGCCAATAGAATAGACTCTCTTGAATAGAGTCTAATTCTATTGGCTTTCAAAAGCCAATAGGAATTGTCCAGGCTGTCTCTGCCCTGCTGAGCCCACCAAAAGTCCCATTCTGCAAACGGTGCTGCAAGTTGTCTGCAGCGAAGGCGAGCTATCTGGAAGCTTCCACCCCTCCCTGCTGAGCAACTACTAAAAATGTAAGTAAAAGAGGGCCAGGGGTGGGAGGTGGGAGGCCGGCGGGTGCAGGGAGGGCTGCAGGCGCATGTGGGGCCTTACCTCCCTTGGGCTGGGCCAGCTGGTGGCCCAGCTGGTGGTCGGCCTGCGCCGTCTCTGCCGCTTGCCAGCTACGCCTTGGCCGGTGCAGGGGGCGGCACCATGCATGCACGGTGCTCCCGGGCAGGGAAAGTCCTCGACTTACAACCGGTTGAGTAGTCCTCGACTTACGACCAGTTGGGTAGTCCTTGACTTACAACCGGTTGGGGGAGTCACGGTATTAAAAAGGTTGAGAACCATTGATTTAAACAATTTCATTTACAAATAGACCTTGACTTACGACTTTAATGGAGCCTGCCCATCATGGTTGTAAGTCATGATGGTCGTAAAACATAGGATTGATCCAATTTTTTTCTTGTAGGGGTTCTTAAGTGAATGTTAAGAATTTTTGCCCCCAAACCATTGTAAAACACAGTCCCATGACTGGGATGCTGTAAATGGCTGTAAATGCAGCCTGGTTGCTGAGCACCTGATGTTCAGTCGGGAACTAATGTTGTGATTGAATTTCTGGATCATAAGTAGCCCCCCCGATAAGTATGTTGTAACTTTGAATGGTCATTAAGTGACCAGTCATAAATTGAAGACTACTTGTAATTGAATTAAAAATTCTTGCATCTTTTTGTAGTCAAGGCTAGTAAATTTCATTCTTGAAATGAGACAACTCATAATTCCATATATTGAGAATATAAAAAAGCCTAAATAAGGAAGATTCTGCTTCCTCAGAACTGAGGTGACATGTATGGAAGAGATGTACTGTATGCACCCAAATTTAATAACAAGAAAGTGACCACACTCACACACACACACACACACACACACACACACACACACACACACACTGCTTTGGAAAAGAACCAAAAGCAATGCGGGGTAGATTGCAACAGGGAACAAAAGCAATCAGTCATGCTCATTTTGTATAGATAACAAACATATGGGCACATACAGTAGATTTATAAGCTTCCACTCAAAATTCAGAAAAGAAAAGTTTTGAACTATTAAACTAAATCAAAGCAAAATTTAAAACACAGTCCTAAAGTAGACATACTCAGTATCTTGGTTGAATATTGTGTATGTCTAACACAATATCTTGGTTGAAGAGATGTTTGTCAGATTCATTCATTCATTCAAGTTGTACATCTGGCAATCTCAATAAGTAATTCTGTATGGTGAACAAAATTAAATAAAAACAATTACAGGAATACAAAAATTAGATAGCAGTCAAGAAAATATCATTCCCCACAGTCACTAATACAACCAAGAAACAAGTCCATTCACACACTCAGGGACTCAGGCCCAGGTCTTTAGGGCTTTAACAAAATGGCCGTCAAGGTTAGGACCATCCTTACCTAATTTTTTTTATTTAAAATTTGAAGAGAAGAGTGAAGGGAGGAAAGAGTAGAACAAAGTGAACCAAGCCTTTTTATTATTATTATTTTCTGTGGCACCTACCCTCTCGAACATCATCCCTCCAGAGATCAGATTGACCCCATCCTTGCTGGTCCTTCCTAATGCTTTTGAAGATCTGATTTTGTGCCAGAGTCTGGGGCACCAGTTGTGTGATAGAACTGTCTCCTGATTGTATTCATGGTTGTATTTTATGATTTTGTTTGGCTGCTGCATGTTTTTATTTTTTATATATGTATATGTTTTACATAATGTAAACCACCCAGCATCATATATTTGAGACAAACAGCTATTAAAAAATAATCCTTGACAGCTGTATTGATAACATGTGCCACTAGAGGGAGCAACAGATTAAGGATATTGAGAAGATGATTGCAAGGTTATTTAACAAGTGACACTTGCTTTTGGCATATTTCTTAGGGATAGAGCCCTGGCTTTATTTTAAGACTTGTTCAACGGAACTTTGTGTGTGTGTGTGTGTGTGTGTGTGTCTTTTCTTCCCCCTTCTTTTCACAAAGTAGTCATGGATATATATCCAAGTTGGTTATTTTGCAACAGCCCAGTAATGTTTGTTGCCTTTCCTATCTTCCAGGATTTTTTTTCTATTTCCCAGTCCGGTATCTAGTTCTGGGATTCCCCGGAGAATCTCTCATTTAAATCCTAAGCAGATCCAATGCTGGTTAGGTTCTCAGTTCAGACAAATTGGCCAGTGCTCCTAGTTGAGAAAGGCTGCCATGGCTATGTTTTCTGATGAAGTAAAAAATCAAACCCTTAATTTTCTCCTTAATCTTATAAAATCATTATTATCTACAGGGCACTTGTTGAACTATGTTGAACAGATGCATGTTGCTACTGTATATTCAAATTTTATTAGAAAACTTCATTATTTCTTAATTATTTCTCCTCCAGGTAGTTACATTTCGTTCACTTATACTTTGAAGCTCTCTCAAGCATTCACTATACCTGGATGTAGGCAGTGAATCCTGTTTCTTCTACATTTGAGACTAGGCTCACACTCCTTATTGTAGGCTATACAGTAAGCATGCAGCATTGTCAAGCTTCCATGATATGGAAGAAAGACATTACAATAATGCAAATATCTCTTTAAAGACTGTGAATCATAATTTTCTTCTGAATATGAATATCTTGCTTCTTTCCCTCTTTCCCTTTCAGTGAGAGGCTAGAATCACAGACCGGCTGAAATTGGACTGCTATTTGCTAAATAAATCAGTTGGCTGGATTTATTTATACATTTATAAAACTCACTAACCCAAAACCAGAGCCCTAATAGTAGGTAGAAGGAAGGTTCTCCCTTAAACATTTGAATACTATTTGAGAATTACACAGTAGGAAATAGATTAACTCAATTAATGTAACAGAGAAATGAAAGCAAATGCACATTTCTATTTCTAAAGTCTATTACTTCTACCCTTACTTCTGAAAACCAAAGAACAGAATATCTCAAGTTTAAAAAAGGAACTCTATTCAATTATAACACACAAAAGAGAAAAACTGTCTTCAGAGTATAAGGTTAAAGAATACATATTAAAAACTTATTTTAGAATTCCATGGAAAAATTTACACTTCAGGGCATGACCCTGAAAATTTTCCCTCATTACTCCTTAAAGATTAGCCCATAAAATCAAGGTAATTGTGTGCCATAGACAACCAGAGTAAACAACTTGTGTGCAGTATTTGTCCATGGCTTCTGCAAAGCAGACAATTGGAGCCAATAAAGAAAATCATGTGCTACTCGGAAGACAAAGAATGAAATAATCCACAAAATCACTAGACAGTTTGAATAAGATAAAATTTCTTTCTGACTTCAGATGGATGAAAAATAACGACACAGTGTACTTCAGCACAGTAATACCCTAGTAGCTTTTATAAGATAATACATATGTCTTGTTATTTTTAAGGAAATATTGATGTCTAAACAGTGCTGTTGGCTTCATTACATTTGGCCAATATATTTTTTTTATAAATCAGGTTTCTTCAAAACTCATGACTCCCAAAAAAATTAAAAATACTGTTTCCAAATGCATTCTAGTTGTCTAAAAAAAAAGTTATCCATTGGAACTGTAATTTTCATTTAGTAGATGCTACATTTATGGAGAAGAAAAGTATATAACAATATTTTAAAAATATCATTTAATCTTAAATAAATTTATTTCTTATCCTAGCCTCAAACAGCTTTAGGAATACGGTTCCTAATATGTCACTCTAGTCAAAGTTTTGCCACTAAACTTTAAATTTTTCTGTAGTTTTACAAAAGTAAATTTTGCAGTTATGACCATCATTACCAACAACAAGGATTAAATCTCAAGGGGGTAATCATCTTTCATGTTTATTGTCTGGGGGACAATGCATTTTTTTAAAAAAAAATAGTTACTATTACTAGAGTATATTAAATATTTCTCCAATTTCCTCCAAAATATTCAACTGAGATAAATGATTTAATTATTCCCTAGTTTAGAAACCTTGATTAATTCATTTTAAACAATTATTTTATCTATAGATTATTTTTATATTCAGTTCTTGGTAATTGGCTGAAATGGACTTATGCTATAAAAGAGTTCTAAGCAAACTTATTAGATGTAAATCTCCTCCCATACTTTCTAATTGTTAAAAGAGCATGTAATTTAATGTAACCATTCTGTGTAATATTTAATTAATTTTTTTAATTATGTAGATATATACCATATAGATTGTACTTTTATTTGAAATCAACTTGGAATACTTAGTTGATATCAGGTTGTGACAACTCTTACGCAGAGTATATTAAGAAGAAACATGTTTCCAATCAATAATCAATAGTTTTCTATTCTCCTATCCTGTGCATTGTTTTTGACCCTGTTGGAATGGAGTTAAGTGTACCTAAAATAAATTTTAACCTTTGGTTCTCACTTTTCTTTTTAAGAAGACATTTTGAACAACTACTCAGATTAGATCTAGTATATTTCTAAAAACTACATCGGATAAAATTATTTTGATATGTACATCACAAAACATACTTGTGAAGACCAAAATAAAATGCATTTAGGTTAGACCTATGCTGGGTGGGTGCATGTATAAAAAATAACTCAGAGCCATGTAGTTTTCATTGTGATTTATAGAGGCATGATATACTTATGGCTTTGGTATATGATTTGTTCTAAATTGCATACTTTTTCATAGTAAAGTGGCTGTATATAGAGTTTTAATATAAAAATGAAAGACAACAATTTCAACAGTGAGTTGCCATTGTTACAAGGAATCAATTAAGGTCTCCTAATTAGGGATGTTGCAAGGAATGTTTTAGCAAGATTCTATTAAAATTGAAAGGTGTGCTACAGGGTCCTTACTGACATTTTGGAGCTCAATTAGAAATAAAGGGCTTCTGTACAAATGAGAAACGTAATCCTTGTCGTACAGAAATGGGCCCTATATTAGAGTCCTTTAAAAAGTGCTCAGGCTTACCCTTGTGAGGATCCAGCTGTTAAAACTGTGCCTTTTCCCTTTGTGAATAGGTTCTACACTTTTGTAGTTTTTAATACATTATGCAACCCATGATTAACAGCAGATTAGAACTTAATTTAGTTCTTCAGGGAGTCAGCCTCACAAAAGAACATAAATCCATCCCTGAGGACAAGGACTTTTATTCCATTCAGTCCAACAAATTGAATACAATTGTCTTTCCAACGGAGAAATTCTTTGCAAATGCTCTTGTTGAGTGACTTTGCATAATTTGGTAGGCTTGAGTTTCTGAGGGCATTCAGCTTCCCCTGAATGATTATTGCCAGATCTGAAAAAAAATGGCTTTGGGTTTCAGGTGGGGAATTTCATAAAAACACTACTCAATGCCACTCATTTATTCATGTGTACAAGTATCCTCAGAGCTCTCCAACCCTATGACTTTGTTACAGATGTATTTGAAAGTAATCTACTTCACAAAATGATCCAGCAATTAGGAGAAAAGCAAAGGTTTTTGTTTCAAAGGTAACAGGTTATATTACAATTTGCCAATAATACTTGCGAAATAAACTACAGTATAAACTAATAAATATTTCTAAGCACTGCATGGCTTGTTTTCCAAAAGAGTCTAATTTATTGAAATATTTGTCAAAGGCTCCCATTATATGTTTTAATATACCTATTTTGTATTCTAGGAGTGTATACCTGAGAATGTAGAACTGAAAAAGAAGATATTTTCTCAGTTAGACCTAATAGTCAGTAATGATGCTATCCTAGCTAGTTCAACCTCGACTCACTTGCCTACAAAATTATTCACTGGATTGAAGCATGTGCAGCAGTGTATAGTTGCACATCCTGTAAGTATCTCAAGGTATTTTTGAGATAGTTTTTTTCAGGTCTAAATGAGAGGTCAGAGGAAAGAAATTTATATATGTTTCATGAAATTTTTGCATGTGGCATGTGAGATTTTCCAGAGGGTATCATTTTGAAATGCAAACTTACAAAAAGTGAGGCCTCATGTTAAATCTGTGGCGACAACAATTTTACAAACTGCCCTGGAGATAGGATCAAAGAATGGCACACAATTCAGTTATAATACATATATAGAGCAGCAGCATTGTAATGAAGAATGTTTAACAACATTTGATTAAAGTTTGTTAAAATTATAGAGTGCATCATGGAGATCAACTCTTGTAGTTTGCTTTGTTGTCCTTTATATTCATCTTAAGATATTAAGCTTTGGGAAGTTTGATTCTGATGAGGACAAGATGATTTTCTTATGATAAGCTCATGTTGCCTTTATGCTCCTTTGGCTTTAAAATTATTGTAGGATTGCCTGATAGATCTATTAACATGCTTTTTCTCTCTCTTTAAATGGTGATATGTAGGTAAATCCACCATATTATGTGCCACTTGTTGAATTAGTTCCTCATCCAGAAACTGATCCTTCTACAATGGAGAAAACCTATGCTTTGATGAAAAATATAGGACAGTCACCAATTAAATTAACAAGAGAGATAGATGGATTTGTTCTGAACCGACTTCAGTATGCTCTTATTAGTGAAACATGGAGACTCGTTGGGGTATGTATGATCTTTATTCTCCTTCTGACTTCTTCAGTCTACAATATGTGACTTAAAATTTGGCATATATATTGCACTGAGTTTTGGTTTGTTTAACTGGATTTGTTGAATAAATCGCAATTGGCATTGTATGTAAAGCACTAAGCCATAAATAATGGTTTACAAAGAATGGCTGGTTCCATAGATTACACTAAATCACTATTAAATAAAACCACATCGTGGCTTAGTATGATATGCACATCTAGACTTATAGTATATTCTCATACATAGTCAAGCTAAGTATAACATTGCAGTTAGAAGTAAGTCTATGGAACTCGGTAAGACATCCAACAGGAATTTTATTGATCTAGTACTTATCAATAAGATTGATTAATAAACAGACAGATAGGATTGCACTATATATTTTAATAGTTTTCTGTATGTTGCCTTTGAGCTTTGTCAGGTAGAAGGAAAGTCCAGACCTCCAGCTGGGGACAATATATAGTTACTCTTTGCTAATCTTTGCTAGCTGTGTGAGATCAGGCTAGTTACTGGATAACGGACCACCATATGTTGTGAACGTTGGGTCTAATATTTTTCCTGTGTAACTAAGTTTGTGGAGTGGAGGGAAGAACTGATCAAGAGAGAATTGGTGGCAAAAATAAACACATAACTTATTAAACATAAATTCAGTAATACCTGAATTCGGTCCATCGTGTAGTAGACAAGTTCATATTTTAACTCCATCTTTAATAAACACAATATAATCCTGTATTAAGCATAATGAAATTAAAATAGATAACATGACTAAGCAAACTAATATTCATTTCATAATATAGCAGCTTTAAGATTTTTTCATATTCATCTTCTGTTGATAATGACGAGAAATTTGATTCTGTAGTTAACATGCTAAAGCTAAAACATGGAAAGAAACAAATATGTTTCAAACAGCAAAATGAGAACATTAGAAAAAAATCCCAAGTTCTTTGTTAAATTGTTACTCAATGGAAGTTTCTGATTTTATGTGAATTTCAAAGGGCATGCTGAAATATTTGTGCAGGAGTTAATTTTATTCCATGTCACTTCAGTATTCTATTTGGTTACCTGTTTATAAGTATGCTATATCTATGTTCCAACTTCTTGCCTTGTTTTCTCACATTGCAGTTTTGAAGATTTCTTAAGAGGCAATGCTAATAGCTTGTAAGAACGTGTTTACCTGAAGAATATGTGGCAGTTGTAATTCTCTTTCACATCTGTTCCTAATATACTTATATTTCCTGTAATTATCATTACATACAGTTCATCAGAAAACACCAGTAGGAATTAAGGCAGTTTATAGAGTCTCTCCCTCCCTCCCTCTCTCTCTCTCTCTCTCTCTCTCTCTCTCTCTCTCTCTCTCTCTCTCTCTCTCTCTCTCTCTCTCTCTCTCTCTCTCCTCCCTCCCTCCCTCTCTATCTCTCTCTGTGTGTGTTTCTGTTCTTACTTTGGGTCCACAAGTTACTCCTGAAATGTGGATAAACAGCAGACAGATTTTATATCAAGATGATGCTATAAATTACTAGCATGAAAATCTTCCGATTTGTGTCATTTTTTTAACTGAATGGAGTCTGTCTTAAATGTTTACTATAAACTGATTCTCTGGTTTTCTTTGTTCTTGACCAATGGGAAATAAAAGAAGATATAAGGCACTTAGAGCCTCATTTTTATTATTATTAGAATGTTGAAATAATTTATCCGGTATTTTACGGAAATAAACCTTTGTAGGTATGGATCGAGTATGTTACATGTTAATTTCACAGATTTTCAGGAGTGGAAAGGCAAGCAATGGGCTTCAAAATATTCCTCTAAGGCAATGTTTCTATCTGGCATGTCTATCTGCATTTCTGGCACCTCTAGATTTATGGTCCAGCCTCAGCATATACCATTGACCCCCCCCCCATCCTCTAGTATGATTGGGAGAAAGGAATCAGGGCACTTGGTTCAAGCAACCCTGTACAGTATTAAGAAAAAGTATTAGTTTTAACTATGGTTCGGCAGAATGATCCTTCTTTTTACTCTGGTTAATGACCCTAGCTTTCTTTGGTTTGGTCATAGATCAGTTTATTAATTCAAGAAATGAACCATTACTAATCCATTCATTATAGATAATATTGCATAAGGCAGACCAATATGGCTTACATAAGAAATATAGTTTAAAATTTTGCATAGTGGATAATTTTAGCCAATTGAAAGTAAATGGAGTAATATTTATAGTCTGTGTATTAGCCATGTAATTTCACCTTTTGAAAAAAACATTTATTTCAATTTGCTCAGTATCTCTTAAGAGTAGGTAGGGAGTAAAACAAAATTTAAGGTACATGGGAGGAACTACAGTGTTTCCCAGGAAAAATTTCAGACTCAGACGCTCCCGTGGTTCCCATGAAATCTTTGAAGTCTGTATGAGTAGAAAGGGTTGATAGTGGGTGGTTCAACAATGAAGGATACTCAGATGGACACTCACACCCATTTGCCTGGTTCTCACATATTTTTATAGTATCCTCTTCTCCTAGTTTATTTGTTTGTTAGAAGGGCAAAAGTTAGAGGAATCCTTGGTGCTCTCTGAGCTTCCTTGTTTCTTGCAGACGTTTCATTATCTAAACTAGGTAACATTATCAGTGCTAATAAGGAATGTGGTTCGCTTTGGGGAAAAGTTAGAAGGGAAATGAGTTAGACTATAACAGTTTAAATCCTCTGCGTGTTTTGAAGCAATCAGGCTGGGTCTGCAAGTTTATCACTTAACTCTCTGATTCATATTAGTTAAGAGTGTGATTCTCCAATTATTTCTGAACTGTAACTCCACCATAGGCCATGCTGACTAGTGCTGGAAGTTCAGCAATGAATTCATCACTATTGCAAAGACACAACAGAGGTATTCAACTGATGCACTATATGAACTGTTTTTATCCATTCATAAAAAATGTGTTGTAGGGAACACTGCCAGTAGAAAGAATATACCCGTGTTTCCCCGAAAATAAGACCAGGTCTTTTTTTTTTTGCCTCCAAAAGAGGCACCAGGTCTTATTTTCGGGGGATGTCTTACTCACTTCCAGCACCAACAGCCCCGCCCAGTTGGTCCACTTCTTCTGGGGCAAAGGAGCAGCTTCATTCTGCAGCTACATTCTGGCCTGCATTTTGCAATCAGGCCTTTTTGGAAGACCAATGCAGCCGAGTACCGAACTATGGATTCAATCCATAGCTTGGTCCTTGGTTGCAGAGGTCTTGCAGAACCAAGCTATGGATTGAATCCATAGCTTGGTTCTTTGCTGCACAGGCCTTTCAGAAAGGCCTGTGACTGAGAAATGCAGGCCTGGCTGCAGAAGACACCCCAGAAAAGCGAAGAGATGCTTGGCTGCAAGGTAAGTGGGTGTGGGGCGCGTGGGGCAGATCCACACTCCTACCCCTGCCCTAGTTTGATTTTTAAATGAGTGCCTCACCCCAAAACTAGGGCTTATTTTGGGGGGGTAGGTCTTACTTTTGGGGAAACATCGTAGTATAATTTCTCCACTATACCAATAGCACTTAGACTTATATACTGCTCCATGGTGCTTTACAGCACTCTCTGAATGGTATACAGAGTCAGCATATTGCCCCCCACAATCTGAGTCCTCATTTTACCAACCTTAGAAAGATGGAGGCCCAATCAACCTTGACTAGGTCAGGATCGAACTGCTGGCAGTTGGCAGAGTTAGCCTGCAATATTGCATTCTAACCACTGTGCCACCACAGCTCCTGTATTACTAAGGACTACCTCTAACCAAAAATTTAGCTACTTAAAACCTATTTTAATGAAAAGATTTTAAGGAAAAGATTGATATGATTGATTATTTATGGCATTGTTTCTGGAATGAATCTGTGATCAAGTTCCTGTATTGCTTAGCACTAGGAAAAATGGAGTACACGTATTACATTACTGCTTATATTGATATAAGTTGTTCTTCCTTTTGATTATTTTTAATCTTGCCTTTTCTGTTTAATATGATTTCCCTATATAATCTGGTCTTCGATCTGAAGACATTAAAAATGATTTTCTTGTTAAGAGCATAAACTAAGATTATTGTAAAAACAATACATTTAAAAGTATATTGTTAGGAAGAGCTTTCAAGAAACAGGAGATGAATCTGTACTGAGGGACTTGTCCTATCCTGTTTTTTGGGTGTGCTGGTTTGCTTGGAAATGTATTCTCTGGATGTTAGCTGAACTTCAAACAGCACTCATGACCTGCTATATTGGAAACTGGGAGTTGCCTCTTAATAAACATAAGGAGCTGGGCATGTTTAGGCCATGCAGATTGCTTTCATGATCCATCCAACGTGTAATAACGTATATGGCAGTTGCATGTTCTGTATTTAATTATCATGTTTGTCCATTTTCACTTCTGCATAATGCACATACACCCCACACACCCTAGTCAAAAAGGTGAATGAAATGCTCCAAAATCATACTGTAATGGAAGCTGGTATTTTATATGATGAAAAGTCAAGCTGCAAAATATCAATGATACTAGATCATTTTTTTCAGAGGTAGTGGTGGGCAGATAACATTCTAACATTATGATGCAGCCCCTCCCCCCTTTTTGCATCATAACATCATACTCAAGACCACAAAGAGCAGTGCAGGAATGCAAGCTTTCTTTTGTCCTTCTGACCAAAAGAACAAGATTCCACAACATCATTGAATATGAATACAGGTAGTCCTTGACTTACGACCACAATTGAGCCCAAAATTTCTGTTGCTAAGCAAGACAGTTGTTAGGTGAGTTTTGCCTCATTTTGCGACCTTTCTTGCCACACTTGTTAAGTGAATCATTGCAGCTGTTAATAACACGGTTGTTAACTGAATCTGCTTCCCCATTGACTTTATCAGAAGATCGCAAAATATGACTCCAAGATGTTGCAATTGTCATAAATGAGTCAGTTGCCAAATATCCGAATTTTGATCACATGACCATGGGGACGCTGCAACGGTTTTAAGCATGAAATAAAGTTGTTAGTCACTTTTTTTAGTGCATTTGTAACTTTGAATGGTCACTAAATGTACTGTTGTAAGTCAAGGACTACCTGTAATATAAAGAAATTGGATCATCACAAGAACCTGTATTTCTAATTATGTCCAGGACTTCTATCAGTTAGAAAGCAATTTTATGCCATATTCAGGAAGGTTGCATAATTTATGGTTATTTTTGAGAGAAGCACTCACTGTCCTGCCAAAAATAAAGTCTCCTTCAAGCTGAACTCAGCTCATCTAATAACCATTTTAGATTATGCCATTGAGCACTTTACTCGTCAGGCACAAATCACTCAAAATCAGAGGTATAATTTTGTATGGTTTTCTCATTGGCAGCTAAACAGGTAAGGCTCTCTATGTCTTCAGATAAGTGTGCTACATCTAAAATAGCAACTGAACCACTGCAATTCTGAATTCCTTTTTTAAAAAATCTGTTTTTTTAAAAATAAAAATTGACACCTTTGCACTATCCTCCCCAGCCATCAGAAATAATCTGAGAGACCATATTACTCTGTAAACCACCATGCAGATTGATAGACACATCAGCAACTTTTGTTCTACAATTAATGTTAGCCTTTTGTTTTGCAATATTTCCTATCCATAAAGGGATTATAAAGTAAATATGAATTCTACAATTCTTTAACACTCAAAATCAATATTTTTTATACAGGATGGAATAGTATCGCCAGATGATCTAGACCTTGTGATGTCTGATGGCTTGGGAATGCGGTATGCGTTTATGGGACCTCTAGAAACAATGCATCTAAACGCTGAAGGTTTGTAACTGTGTGAAAGTTAAATGCAGACATTTCTAAACTAATAGGTGTTGATCAACAATTTCTGTTAATGACCATGATGACATCAAAAAGATGACACATGTGCAGTAATATCATGCAAATGTTGGGGTTATTTTTTGGCATCGTTATACCAGATGCAAGTGCATAAATCATAGCATTTCCATGAACAGATATCTGCAATCATTTGTCCACTTCTCAAAGTTATGATTATATCAAGAATATTCTCTCTCTCTCAATATATATGTGGATGTGAAATGTGTATATTATTATTATTATGGATCATCGCACAGTCAGCCAGATGTTCAGACTGAATTTGGCATTTTGTCTACCTATCGAGTCCTTACCAAGGACCTGGGATAGACAGATGTGGATGTTTGATGTTATTACAGATATTGTCACAGGATGGAGGCGGTTCCTAGTAAGGCCGCCTTTTGCAATTGACTAATGGTGAATTTGTCAATGCCGATGGTGTCCAAGTGGTGCTCCAGTTGTTATGGGATTGCATTCAAGGCGCCTATTACTATTGGTACTACCCTTGCTTGCTTTTGCTACAGTCTTTCTATTTCTATTTGTAGGTCTTTGTATTTTGTTATCTTCTCCAGTTCTTTCTCATCTGGTCTGCTGTCTCCAGGCACTGCCACGTCCACTATCCAGACTTTTCTGTCTTTCTTATTGACAATTGTTAAGTCTGGGGTGTTATGTTGCAGGTGCTTGTCTGTTTGAATTCTGAAGTCCCAGAGCAGTTTAACTTTATCATTTTCTATGACTTTCTCTATTTTATGATTCTACCAGTAGTAGTAGTAGTAGTAGTAGTAGTAGTAGTAGTAGTAGAGTAGTAGTAGTAGTAGTAGTAGTAGTAGTTATATAATTATTATTCAATGTTGTTAGGTTCTGGAGATTTCTATTCAAAGTAGTATTGGACAGTAATTATTTTGGTTGGCTCTTTGAGCTATTTTATGAAAAAATATATCTGTTGCACCATGTTTAAACATATAATTATTTTCCTGGCATGACTATAACTTTTGCATTAGCTAAAAATTGTGGTGATCGCTCACTATCATGTGGTTTGAGAGTGGCTACCTTTCCAGAGAATCACCATCTTTTCAAGGTTATTAATTTAAAATCTTTTTTCCCATGGCTTAGTCACTGTGTTTTAGTAACATTTTTGTTCTATAGCTTTTATTATTTATTAAATTTGTTTGCCGCCCATCTCACTACAAAGTTTATTTATTATTTGTAAAATTGAAGGCTGCCTTGGCCTTCCCAGATTTACAGAAAGATCAAATATAAATTAAATAAAAATAATAAATTTACAACTGGTTGTTAGGGCCTAGAACAGGGGTAGGCAATCTTGGCTCTTTTATGACTTGTGGACTTCAATACCCAGAATTCCTGAACCAGCCATGCTGACTCAGGAATACTGGGAGTTGAAATCCACAAGTCATAAAAGAGCCAAGGTTGCCTACCCCTGGCCTAGAAGGAAGCTTTGCTCTCCCACTCCCCTTTGTAACAGGCAAAGCCATTGTTCCTATTTAAATCTGATGAGTTGTTTCTGGTTTAGTGAATTTTGAAAGCCTGTGTAATCTATTCCATATCATTTCTAACTGCAGATAGAGTTTTCTCAAATGATTTAACAAGAAATAATCATTTGAGTCCATTGGATCACTGAAGCTTTCTCAAGCCTGTTAACTTGGTCCATCCTCAACCAGCAAAAAATATATTTACTAAGTTGTGTGATTATTCTCGAAGAAATAATATAATATTTGAAAGTTTAAAATCGAGGCTGGTGATTTGATATCTTCCAGATGTTTTTGCCACAACTCCTACAAAGTTCTGATTTGGAACATATTCCTGGGAATGATGAGAATTAGAAACCAAAACAGTGTTGAAAACCACATGCTTGGATTTATGCAGACATGGATGCCTAGAAGAGGCATTGCTACATGTTTGCCTAATCATTTGCAAAAAAACAATACTGTAGCCCTATTCAAAAGCATCAGGTTTCTCCACTCAAAGCATCCTCAATCTCTATTTGTATAGAATATTTACTTGAATTTAATCTAATAAAAATTTTTAAATTAAGCATTAGAATGTGTGCACTCCCATACTCCATCCAAGAACATTGCTTAAAGCTATTGTTCTGGGTATATATGCCATGTCCTTACTAGAGTCATATAGAATCCTCCACTGTCTTTCAGCCATTGGTGAGGTCTGTCTGCTCAAGAATGTTTGAAAAACCATAGAAGATGCTATTAGTCCATACTTCTCAATTTCATCAATTTTAAGATGTATGCTGGTTGGGGTATTCTGGGAGTTGTAGTCCATACATTTGACAATTGCTGAGATTGAGAAGCCCTGATTTGAGCAATTGATGAGAATCCTGCTTTAGATGGGATTAAATCTCACAGATACCTGTGTGAGACTTACCTCAAAGTAAACGTGTACGGGAGCACAGTTTTAGCTTTCATAGCTGGGAAAAGAACTCTTATGCAACAGTAGAATACTTGTATGCCAGAAGCTTTGGGATAAAAAGCAAATGCCAACAGCAAGTCATTGCAAAGAGAAAGAGAAAAGTAACATGAGAACAAAAAGAAACATAACAAGGAGAAAGGAAGCCCACAACATTTTTAATAGGAGAAGGTAGTTTAAGGACATCAAATTGAATTAATATAAAGAGTGATGAGTACAGATTTTGGGTCCTGGAGCTGGACAGTTTAACATTTTGGCAGAGGGGTACTAAAAAAAATATCAGATCCTTTTAGTACAAAAAACCCCCAGCAGTGCAGTGCTACTAAAACAATTTTCTCAGGTACCCTATAACTGTATCATCATGGAACAAAGGACCTCCTGTGTACGGATCTAATCTTTTCAGGTTCCACAGAGGGGGTAAGATTACCTGCTTGTTTTCAACCTTCCCAAAAACACTTAAAGACAGGCCATTTGGCTTTTAACAACCAGTCTTAAATAGCTTCACCCAAATTAGCTTTTTTAAATCTCGGTATAGTTCATGCCAACAGGAAAGAAATATCAGTAACGATGCATAACCTAGAATTTTTTTAAATTGTTTAAGCAAAAGTACTTTTTTCAACCTGTTTTTTTTAAACGATTACAACCGTGATCTTCATAATGTAAAAAGTAACATCTTTAAAAGTCTTCTCATTAAACATCATTGTGTGTGTAACTGGAAGCAACTAATATTTTTATTAGCTCTGCTATTAATACTTTAAAAAAACCTGGGAGCTCTTTATATTCTATTTTGCTTCTGCAAAAATCGCAGAATATAAAAAGAGGCACTATTACAGCTGAAACTCAGACGTTACTGAAATGCTTTTCTGACCACTCTCTTAGAGATATTTTGAAATAGGATATCAGTTGATGGTTCCCCCTTTTACATTAGCTCATTAAATAGTATACTCCTTGGGTTAATATATAAACAATAGATGTTGGTAATCTATTCATGCTTACTCAAGGTGAACTCTATTATACCTCCATCAGTTTTAGTAAGTAAGTATGCCAAGGATTGCAGACTTCTGGGCACATTTCTTGAGATTAGGAGTAGGAATTTTCTCATATTCATGCAGACCTTCCTCTTTGGCATCTGTAAAGTCCTGATTTTACAGCCAGACACCTACACAAAGATCATGACTGAATATTGTTGTAAATTAAATGACAAATATCTGCATTAGTCACAAGTAACATTTGAAATAAGTAGCTGAAAAATGGGAAGTCCTTTTTTAAAATGTTGATATGAACCTTTCCTAACATTTCATTAACCCTCTTCCAGTATTGGTCCTTTGTTTCCTGAAATACTATAGCTAAACTTTTTTTGAACTGGATGCTACACAATCTTTGGGCTCTCCTCCAAAAATCAATTTGGAACTTGATTTGTCAGCTTTTGGCTTTTATGCCATAGCAGCTGGGTTCCAAGTGGAACCCATTTCCCAAACTTGGCTTGTCCCTCACATTCCTAGACACCTAACAAATCTAAACTGCTTTGGCTTACACCATGGCATAGCAGTTGATCTGTATGTCTACAACCTTTGGACCAGGCAAACAAGTCACCATGTGATCCACAAGCCTACATGTTTATGTTTTGTTTGTAAAGGTCAAATTACAATAAAAATCCCCCCAATCTCCTGGAAGTATGTTTTCAATATAAAAAGATTTCATCATCCACAGACTGGATCCCTAATTTAGGAACACATGTCTCATTCTCAATGTCCTCCTTCCCCATTTTCCTTAAAAAAGAGAATTTTATCACCTTGGAAGTATCTTGAAGGCTCTTATCCAGATATCTCTCTGGTTGCCTAATTATCTCCAGTTCAGCCACTCTGATTTCAGGGGGGTGGACCTGCTAATTAGGAAATTGTCATACCAGTTGGGGTCCAAGCCAAGTATATGTATATGTAATAAACCAGAAAACACTGCCTTCTCCTGCTGGCTTTCTATTTTAATGTAGTTATTCTTGGTAACTGTTCATTCTTTTTAAAGAATTATTTGAAGTAGAAGATGGATATTTGTGAGAGGACAGGGTGCCTGCAAAATGGCCAGCACCTGGGCTGCTAGTGTCCTAGATAGTCAACCTGAAATGTGTGACTAAAAAAGTTGAGCAGAGAGGCAGCTGGTGTTGGAGTTGTGGTGTGGGTGTGAGAGGGAAGGTGGTTTGTGTTCATTTGGGAAACTAAAACAACCTAAAGCAGTCTAAGACAAATATAAGAATTACTGTTTTCCAGAAATAGGGCTCACAAAGAGAAGTAGTGGAGAAACAGAAGTTGTAATTGAAGGGAGAAATGATATAGTAAACTATGAATATTAGCTTTGTGTACTTATGGTGTGTTGGCCGGGGTCAGGCCAGGAGTTGTATTGGCTCCCTTGGAGGTTTGGAGCCCACTAACCTGGTATACATAAAAGAACCTGGGACACTTATATTTTCAGAACCTTGAGCTCTGGATTCTTCACTCAATCACTGAGTTTATCTTGATGTTTTGTCTCTGAAAGTGGAAGATTAGTAAATTCTTCTATTCATCTAATTCCCTCTTCCTGTTTGCTCGCTGATTTCAAACTCCCAAATGTTTCATTATCAATGAAATACTTACAGCTTAAGTTCCTGTTTTTAAAGATATGTGGGAATGACCTTGGCTGACTGGACCCAAAGATGCTGCCTAGACAATGGTCAGATAAGAGACAGCATCGTCTGCAGTGGGATAGTAGATGGGGCAAGATATTCAGAAGAAATCTTCCTATTTTTTGTGTGTGTAAAGGAGAGAAAGGTAGAATTCTTCTTCCAGACTTGCAAAATTCTGTAATATAGCCTTACAATAAAGTAGAATTAGCTCTTTTAGTTGTGCTTCCTATTTGATCTACTTGATAGAGCTGATACTGCTCAAACCCTGTATTCTTCAAATAAACAGATACAGTAGTTCCTGAATAATAAAGAAAACAACACTTATCCAAACAACTCACAAAAACAAAACTCCCTTACTGTATATCTATTGACCATTGTATTTGCTTGTTCTGCTCATGAGCTCCCAGCTGCTTCTCTTCTTTCCAAATAATGTTGGCTGAAATTATGAGTGCTATTAAACAGTCTGAACTTTTGAATTGCTGGGATCAATCTCAAGAAAGAGGATTTTTGTTAAGTGTAAAATATATCCTGCTTGGAAACAAGGAAGTTCTCAAAGGATGTTGTAGAATTTTTTTCTTGGGGCTTCATTCTTTGAAAAGAATTAGCAGACAGCTGTTTGGAACCCTAGCCAGAAAAAAAAAATGAATTCTAGACAGTGAATAATTCCACTCAAATTCAGTGGTATGTAACAATGTAGACTTTCTTTGTTTGGGAAACATTAAACAGTTTCCTATTCTCTTTCAGGAATGCTGAACTATTGTGAGAGATACCGTAAAGGTATTATCCATGTCTTGAAAACATTTGGACCAATACCAGATTTTGCTGGGGAAACAGAACAGAAAATCAATGAGGTATGTGTACAAACTGAATATCAGGCTGAATTCGCAAAATGTATCGACTGCATTAGCATATTGGGTGTTCTATGAATTTATCAATTTTGGGTTTCCTTATTTGGGTTAATTGATTTTTAATCATTTTGTTATTTGTTATCAGCAGTCTTGTGATTTGCTGTGTGGTTGACACACATAAACCTTGGCATATAGAATGCATTACAGCCAAATTTGCTTCTTTATATGCCGCATGCATTGCGTTGTTCCTATTGTCAAATGGACGTAAAAAACAAAACAGAAATATGACCGGATGATTTTTAAGACACAAAATCAGATTCTACTCTGCAGATCTCCAAAATGTGATATTTTGTTTTAGATAGAGATTATATACATGGTCAGAAGTGGGATAAAATGCTCAGGTTTTGTATATTTTGATTACATTATTCATTCAACACACATGTGACTGTTATTAAATGAAATGAATTATCATCTGTATTTAGCAAACTTACAGGTAATCCTTGATTTATGACCACAATTGGGAATAGAATTTTTGTTACTAAGCAAGATGGTTGTTCAGTGAGTTGCATCCAGTTATATGACTTTTATTTCCATAGTTGTTAAGCAAATCACTGCTTAACACTCATGGTTAAATAAATCCAGCCTCTCCCATTGACCTTGCATATTAGAATGCCATAAACGGCAGTCACATATTCCGGAGACACTGCAACCATTGTAAATACGTGCCAATTGCCAAACACCCTGATTTTGATCACAGGGCTGGGGGGATGCTGCGACAGTCATGGAGGACCAGTTGTACGTACCTTTTTTGAGTGCTGTTGTAACTTCAAATAGTTGCTAAATGAATGGGTGTAAGTCAAGGTAACTGTTATTTTAAAGCGACTTCATTCTTTCCTTGTTCGAGTTCACATTCCTTAATGTAGTAATCCTTGCCCAATCATTTTTATTTTGTGGGCCTCCGTACTTATTTAACCTCTAGGGCAGCGGTTCTCAACCTGTGGGTCGCGACCCCATTTGGGGTCGAACGACCATTTCACGGGGGTCGCCAAACAACACGATCCGCCATTTTTTTCAGCTGGCGGCACCGTGCATGTGTGCTGCGCCGCACATGCGTGCCACGCATGGGGTGGCGCATGGGCAACACCGTGCATGCGCCCCACGCATGGGGTGGCACATGGGGCGCCGCCACGCATGCGCACCACGCATGGGGCGCCGCCACGCATGCGCACCGCGTCCTTATGAACGGGGTCGCCGGTATAAAAAGGTTGAGAACCACTGCTCTAGGGCCTGGTTTTTAAGGACTGTAATAACTTTTAAAACTATGTAAAAATAGAGAATTATTCGTCTGCTTGTCATTCTGTAACTTGCTTCTTAAAGGTATATACCGATATAAAAACAACTTCTAATCCAGTGTGTTTTATAATATATATGAAGAGAAAAAGTAGTCAGATGATTAAAATATAATCTGAACATCAGTATGACGGCTTTATTTTTTAGCTTCAGAAGGCAGTAGATTCAGGGCTAAGTTAGGAATGGGGCAAGGTAATTGTAATTGGGCCATCATCCTCTTTTATTGTTCAGAGGCTAGTAAAGCAAAAAAAAGTGAGTTCTCTTTGCTTGGCTTGAAGTTTTTATTAAATAGATATCATCGCATCATATTTATTTCTCTAGGATTTCACTGTCAAAAAAAGATGGCAGAATTCTAAACCATTCATTCTGGATAATCTCTCAAGCCTTCATCCAGTGCCAATATTCAAGTATCCGGTTCCCATGTAATAGAGATAGGATAGCTCTGCTGGAAAGGGACAAGCATGTTATTGTTAACAACCTCACAATGTGGAGCATAGTTTGATGACATGGTGAGCAGAGAAACTTTTTAAAAATCAGATGAATGAGAAGATCGTTTCAAAAGCAATAGTGCATGCATCGCCACCTGATGGTGTCCTGATGTGTCAGACTACAGTTTCTGGAACTGTCAGTCATTATAACCAATGGGCCACTAGTCTGGAATTTTGGTTGATGTACTCCAGATATACTCCCAATACCAGGTTTTGCCAAACACTGCAGTAGCACGTAGAGTAAGAACATTGGAAAAAGATATCTTAAATGTTTTAGAAGTCTGCAAGGATTAGAGGAGACACTTGTTTATCATTAACACCAGTATACTCATGAATATAATAACAAGCGTACAGATTGGAAAAGAAAGGCATTTTTGTAGCAATAAAGTGTTGCTCTTCCAGTGTGAAGGAGATGTGAGGTCTCTTCATAAATTAAATTAACTGGGGGAGGGCATCAGAATTTCACCTAGGTCAGGCATTCACTCATGAACTGAATTACTGTATTATGGTCAGGTTGGAGCTACTGTGCAACAAGAAAGAAGTATCAACAAGTTATTCCATGCTATCAGAAAGAATAAAACCACCATCATTTTAGAAGCCCTAAAAGACAAGATAACCTCTCCTAAAACTTGAACATGTGTGGACATCAACTCCGAGAATTCCCCAGCTGATTCTCCCAGCTAGCTGGGGAATTCTGGGAATTGAAGTCCACACATTTTCAGTTGGTCAGGTTTTTAGAAACACTGTTGTAGGGGGAATGCTGCTGGGCTGACTGATTGGTTTCCTACTTAAGCAATCCCAGCTAGATGGCAGTACCTACCTAACTGACCTTGCCTGACTTAGAAGCTAAGCAGGCAAGGACCGTTGAGAAATCCTTGCCCAGGAAACCACCCCAAATCCAGACTAAACTGGAAAGTCAAAAAAAAAGAAAAAAGACAGTAGTAGATCATTTCCATACCATTTCCAAGAAAACTGTATGGGCATGATGGTAGGTCATGCCAGTTCGGGCTATCCTAAAGCGATCCTTTATCTTACTGTACAGCTATTTTGTCTTTGTTTCAGGCCATGGTTAAAAAAACTCCAAGTGATCCAGAGCACCTAAATGCCAGGAGACAGTGGAGAGATGAATGCCTCATGCTCCTGGCCAAACTGAAAAAGGATATTAAATCGGATGACATGAACCATGTTTAAATCACAGAAAAGGGCATCATCAAGTTGGCATTCAAGAGGACACCTCCCTTCCACGGCTAAACATTACACATGCAAAAGCCAGTTGAACCACTTAAGTCAATTATTTAAGACTGGAATATTTTTATCTGAAAATGTTTCTAAATGATATTTTAAAGCCACAGTCTCAAACCCCTTGGTTGAGAGTCTGTGGAGATTCTCAATCATCCAGATGATAGTTGTCTCAAAAGTATATACAGTATATTTTTTTTCAAAAGGCAACTGGACTGTTTTTTTTCTTCCTCAAAGAAAAAAAGCACCTTTTGAGATCCTTGGTTGAGATGCTTGCATTTTGTGGGAGGGCTGCAAAGAAATGTATTTGTTGATGGTGGTTTATGATTTCCATCTTTGAAACAAATGGGATGCAAAGCAAAATCAATTTTAAGCAAGATACTGAACACAGTAACTTCAAAAACTCTTGGGCCTTCCTAATGAAAAATATTTTTATGTAGAGGTAGTCCTTGTCTTACAAATTGAGTCATAACTGAGCCCAGAATGAAGGTTGTAAGTCTGATTTTATTACTTTTTTTGTGGCAGTCATTAAATAAATGCTGTGGTCATTAAAACGTCACATTTTCCGCAATGGGCATATTTTGTAAGAAACCAGAAGTAAATGCTGGTCCCCATACATTGCAATCACATGACAGTGGGATGCTGCAAATGGCTGTAAATATGGGCTGGTTGCTGATTGCCTAAAGTGCAATCATGTGACCATAGTCCCAAAGAGGCAACTGGACTTTCCTGTTTTTCTTTGAAGACGTTTTGCTTCTCGTCCAAAACGTTGAACTGAAGAAGCTTCTTGGATGAGAAGCAAAACTGCTTCAAAGAAAACAAGAAAGTCCAGTTGCTTCTTGAAAAAGCACCTTTGCGACAACCATGAACTGGATGACTGAGAATCTCCATAGACATATGATCACAGGGGGAGGGGTGTGGCCATCAGAACTTCAAATCCAGGTTGTAAGTATATTTTGGGGGAGACAGGGTCCATCGTAACTTTGAACAGTTGCTAAGCAATGAGTCTTAAGTCAAGAACTACCTGTATCAGTTCTTGGTTCATATCACTCTTAAGCTACAATGTAACAGAGAACAGTAATATTTATTTAAAACTAACTTTTTAAAGTCTTGCTTGTGATTAATTTAGGCCAAGTATCAATTACTTTTTTGTACGGATATAAGTATTTTGGCAATGAGGGCAAGGAAAAAAAAAAAAGCTATCTTCTGGCCTACATTCTCTTCTGTCCATATATTTATAGTCAGGATAAGTCATGCTATCCAAGTTTGTAATTACTCTGATTGTAGCCAAATAGATTTCCAATATTAGTTTTATATGAATGGGTCTTCTATTCAGATAATTGTGGTTCACATTAAAGGCTTTGTGCTGTATTGACGTATTATACAGATTGGCAATAATACCAATATAGGAACAAAGGATAGTGACTGGATGATATGGTAATGTAGACCATAATTTGTTCTCCTTGGCAGTTCTTCCAGCTGCAAGGGGACATCAGCTGCTTAGACCGGAGTTGTGTCCTTAACAATTCCTTCATTTTATGTCATGGACGCTTTGGATTATTAGTCAAATAGCAGATGTGCTAGATCAGAGCGCCCTTTTAAAGTATAACATTAGATGTGAAAGATTCTTGGTATTATACAGCATTACCAGTTGGCTGCAAAAGTAAACACAAATATTTCAAAGCAAGATTTCCTTGCAGTACTCCCTCATTGCCCAACATCTGTTTAAAACGTTTTTTGTGGCGAAATGGGTGACTTGCGTTTTAGCGTTGCTGACTAAACAACTGCCTTTTTGTAAGCCTGTCAGTGAGAGTTCTTTAAAGATTACACCCAGCAGAATAAACCTCATGAACCCTGAACTAAAGGCAAGTCCATGGACTATAAACTGGAGAATACAACTGAAATACCTGTACATCTCTTTCTTCATCACGTTTATGAAATATGGGGAAATCTTTGGGGTTTTCTGTATGTCTTAACCTACATTGGGGATTATTCAACTGAGGAAGCATATCCTTGTCTTCTTTGTAAAGTATGGGTGATAACTACATTACCAAAGCTTTCTTGAGGAGGCTGCTCAGTCTTTGGAATTCCTGCACTTAGGAGACCAACCTAGTCTCTTGTGATATTTTATAGCTTGTCCTGACAAGATTGACTTTCAGTGAATTAATTATCATAATCCTGTAGGATTTCATATTTGGCTAATGGGGCCTTCTTTGTTTTAACTGAGCATGATTGTGTTATGAATTTGCATTAATATTGTCACTGAGGGCTTCTGTTCCAAAATCAATAACTTGCCATAATTTTAATGTATTTTATCGCCTGGCATATGTTTCATTACTATTAAATTTCATCAGTACAAAACTCAGGAGATTAGTACTGTACATTAGTACAAGCTCAAGACATTTAATTAGAAGAAATATTTAAATGTATCATTACCTTAATTTATGTTAAATTGCAACATTCAAAAGTCTAAATTTTATGCTTCTTTTTGTTCTGTATTCATTATTTTTCAAGCTGCTATAGTATCTGTACATCTGTGATCTGCTTACCAATAAATATCTATATTGAAATCAGCCTTGTGCATTTATATGCAGTTATTGTATCATTTTTGGATTTTAGCATTTTATATTCAAGGATCAATTAGTGGGAATCATTACACAAGTAACTTGAATTTCCCATGAATAACACAACATTAATGCATACTAAACTGCTCAGCTGGATTTCTTTGGGTATATGGACTTGTCTGTTGTTTGGGCAGGTGGGAATATCTAAATCAAAATTAGATTAGAGGGTCATTAAATGGATGTTTCCACTTGTATTGCTAAACTGCAATACAAATTACCATGAAGTGCATTAAGAGGAAATAAAATGGATCAGGACAGGCTATATCAACAGAAATTCCCTAAGTCAAGAAGATAATCTTGACTTGCTGTCAAAATGATTGCAAGATCAGATTTGGCAACATTTCTATAGAGCAGGGGTGTCAAACTGCCGCCTTGCAGGCTGGTTGCATCATATGGAGGCCGCGCCCACCCCAGGTCCGGCAATGCAAAAAAAGTCGCAATATGTCACATGACACGGCGAGTTTGACACCCGTGCTATAGAGAGTATTAATCATTTGGAGAAGAGTCTTCCTTTCAAGTGGGCACCATAAAGAAAAGGATTTCTTTAGCTATTTGGGTCTCTAGTTATAGAAGCTTAATTTGAATTGACTTTAGAAACCAATAAATTAATATGACATTTGTTGTAGAATTATCTCATTATGATCCCATTTGCCTCATCTTTCTAACATGCCATATTCTTTCAAAACTGAACCTTCAATGTTTTCTTCAAGCGCAGCCCAACATTGCCATATGTACCAATAGCACGTTGCCAAGGGTAGTTCAACCACGAGATTGGCAGGGCATGGAGCACTGAGCAAATTGTTTCCATATTGGATTTATGGCAGTTGATTCTGAGCAATCAAAGCAATCTGGGTTTGCACATCAAAACATACACATACTGTATTTGCAAATAGATATAATACCTGCTTAAAGATTTGGTGTAACATAGCTATATAACACCAAAAGTCCTCAAACCACGTACAGTGGAATATAACCTGAACATTTCCTATTAATTTTTTTTTACAGAATTACCTGCTTGTTTATTGATACATTCATAATCTCAGTAGTACAACCTATTGAGTTTACAAAACATGAAATATGAATGCAAATTATTAAAAGTAATTCCTGGCAAGGATCCTTAGCAACAGTTTTATTTTGGTTTTAAAAAATCATAAAAAGAATTATTCCCTGAATATGTATCTATTCAGTTTATCATGAACCCTGTTCTATTTTAAACTAAATTAAGACATTTGTATAAACAAATATATCTCTTTACATTAAGTAATTTCACTAATTGGCACAGGGAACTAGATCAATAAGTAAAAAAATAGTTGAAGATCAATCTATTCATTATTGGGACATTAAATCAAGCATTGTACTAGTGAATTAGCAGTAAAGGCCTATGTCAGATGTCTCTAAATCAACTTGAAACCAGTTGAAAAGGCATTGCATTCTTCCAGTAGACCAAGGCAGTTTCTGATGGATTTTCACATAATCCCTTGTGGGTGCAGCAACAGTTAATGGATCAGTGCTACATTCCCAGAGGATTATTATGACTGCATCCCCCACTTACATGAGACAATGTCTTGGGAGATGCATGAATATACTACCTTGAGAAGACAAGGTTGTATCATCTGAAATTCTAATCTTGAGGCTGGAAGACCTGACAGGAGACCATCTATGAGGTAGGGTTTCAATGCACATATCTCTACAGCTTTTCTTCAAGAGGTTATAAACCAAGATACTAATGCAATATATAGAACTATGATGATGTGTTTCAAATTTTAATAGTTTCAATTCAAAATCTATTGGTCTGTCTTGCTTTATGCAAGGGAATGCAGCAGGTTTATATGCATTTGTGTAAATATCTAGGAGTATATGAAGGCAAACATTTCGGGAATGAAGTTAAATTCACGAGGAGTTTGATTTCTACTTCATGCTTGCCTGGCATCTAGAAGTTCATTGTACAAAGAATATACTGAACTTTTAGTCATATTTACTAATAATTTCCTGCACCAAATATTATAAGTATTAGTACAAATCATTCACGGGGGGGTTTTAGTGGGTAGCAAAATATAAAAAAATAATGTTGGCAGGAGATGCTGTGTTGATTAGAAAATTAGGTTCTTAATTGTTCAAATTAAGATCACGTTATTTCTTTTATTATATTTTATAATCACCACAAAATTATGGCAGTGGTAGAAACAGGATATGCAATATTATGTGTATTATTCACATCATGAGCATTAGTAGAAGATGTAGTGTTAAGTCTGATTAGGATTAATTTTGCTTTGTTCTTTTGTTTCCTGACTGAAGAATATTGCATTATCTGTTAAATTTCATTCTGCTTTTTCCATTTTAAAAATCATTCAGAGTATATAGATATACTTTGTATATAGTTTCTATCAATATTCACACTAGCTAGTAGCATACAGTGATTTTAATCAGACCCTCAGACCAATTTTTTCATACCCATTGTTATTTACAAAGCAAATGGTGTTTCGCTGGAAAGCTCAGATAAACAAGAATCTAAAACTATAATACTATAGACTTAAGACAAAGCCATCTAAGATATTAATGTTTTGAACTGAAAGTTAACGTCTTTTGATAATTAAGAATCTTTACAATACAAAATTGACAGATTTTAGTAATATAATTTTAAAACACCATTCTTCAAACTTCTCTTAATATAATAATGTCTCTAGTGAATTATGTATTATTATGCTGAATCAATTTATTTCATGTTTTTAGTATAATTTCTAGAACATTTAAATGAATTTGACCCATCTATAAGAATAGATAAAATAGAGGAATATTAAATTGAAACATTTAGAGGATATTTTTTGATGATGATAATTACTTACAATGCAGGACCAGTGGGAAACCTTAAAGTGATCTAAGATTGGCTCTTTCAAATGTTGTATATCCCTGACTTTGTAAAACAAACCTAGAATATTTGTTCATAATATACTGAGTGTGAGAAAGAGGAGGCTTCACAACCTGGATCTGAAAACTGGATACAATTTTATTTACCAATTAACTCAATATCAAAATCAGTACCCAAACAAACAGCAAACTATCAAAATTCATGAGAAGAAAACCTGTTACAGCAACTACATCTTTGACTGGGGATTGGCCAAATGGGAAAATTCACAAGATAGCATGTCCTTCCTATTGCCCCAAATAAAAGGTTATCATATTGGCAAACTCTTTTTTTCAACATTGGCAAAAAAACTGCATTGTTTGTTTAAGAAAACAACAGAGATTTATACTGGGAAAGGAACACACCATCCATATCTGTAGTGGGCTCAAAAAATGATCAAAGCTCTGTCCCTGTCTGATACATATTTCACATACCATAGATGGTTCATGTTTACCTGAAACAGAAGAAAAATGTCCAATATTCTTCTTCAAAGTGAAGGCATGCAAGGTATAAACCTGAAATTCACATTGACTACTGTGTAGCAAGCCCAGTCCAAACAGCCACAAAGACAAAGCCAGAAGCAAAAGATCACATGGAAACAATCATGGTACAGTTACTTCCTGGAAAGCTCAGACTAGAATAACAGAAAAACAGAGTTGGAAGGGACCATGGAGATCTTCTACTCCAGTGGTTCTCAACCTTTCTAATGCCGCGACCCCATAATACAGTTCCCCATGTTGTGGTGACCCCCAACCATTTGTACATCACCGGGTGCCAGGGGCGTGGCCAAAGAAAAGGGGAAAAAATGGCGGACAGCCTTGTTTGGGGACCCCTGTGAAATGGTCGTTCGACCCCAAATGGGGTCCCGACCCACAGGTTGAGAACCACTGTTCTAGTCCAACCCCTGCTCAGGCAGAAAACCTTATACTATTTCAGACAAATTATTGTTCAATCTCTTTTTAAAAACTTCCAGTGTTGGAGCAGCCACAACTTCTGGAGGCAAGTCATTCCACTGATTAATTGTTCTGTCAGGAAATTTCTCCTTATTCCTAGGTTTCTAGGTTGCTTCTTTCCTTGATTAGTTTCCATCTGTTGCTTCTTGTCCTGTTTTCAAATGCTTTGGAGAATAGGTTAACACCTCTTCTCTATGGCAACCCCTCAGATATTGGGATACTGCTATCATGTCACCCCGGCCCTTCTTTTCATTATACTAAACATACCCAATTCCAGCAATCATTCTTTATATGTTTTATCCTCCAGATCCCTGATCATCTTTGTTCTCTCCTCTACTTCTCTACTGTTTCTCTACTGCAGACATCTGCCCCAAAATGTTAACACCTGAATGTTTAGATGCCTAGATTTATCATTAATTCCAAATGCAATTTTTCCTCTATTAGTAGAATTGGCAAAAAGCTTGCCAAAATGGGTTTCTACCTAATTGCAAGTTTATCATAATTTCTTTTATGTGGCTCCTGAAGCATCAAGGGTGGTGCATTAAAATTGTTGCTCTATGTTTTTTTCAAAAACCCTCCTCCCAAATGAACAAACATTTGTTTGCCTTCATAAGTTATGACTTGCAGGACATGTTATGAAGATGTCATCAGTATACTTTTCACACATCATTATTCCTTTCTTGTTTGTTTTGTATTCACAGCATTCAGTGACTTGTCATAACGTGAGCCAGCAGAAACATAATCCTTACAAACCTGAAATATTGCAAGCTAGAATATCTACAATAGATGTTTTTCAGGCACTATTTAGTCTCAGAGCATTCCTGAATTAATTCTTGCACCTCAGATCATAGGCTTGAGGAGCTATACAGTGTTTCTCAACCTTGACAATTTTAAGGCATGTGGACTTCAACTCCCAGAATTCCACAGCCAGCTGGCTGTGGAATTCTGGGAGTTGAAGTCCACATGCCTTAAAATTGTCAAGGTTGAGAAACACTGAGCTAGAAGATAGCTGTCTACCAGTGAGACAGTGCTGAACACGGTTCTCTCCAGTATTATTTTTAACTTCTATCACGGTAGTGGTCTGAGATGGTATA